TGCACCGTTGCGAGCGTTGCTGAAGTCATCAACATCATTTTTCATATAGTCTTCAGATTGTGAGTGGGCATTTGTGAATCTCAAAGAGCTATTGACGACTCCTCCGGTTTTGGCATATCCTGACTACACTCAACCTTTTATTTTGCGCGTAGATGCTTCTGATATTGGTCTTGGAGGTGTGTTAATGCAAGAAAGCCTGAGTGTGCCTGGTCAGCGTCATCCCATTGCATATATAAGCTGTACGTTATAACCAGCAGAGGTGAACTACTCCATGACAGAGAAGGAGTGTTTAGTGGTAGTTTGGGGTTTCGAGAAACTTCATGCATATCTACATGGTTCTCAGACGTTACTTGAAGGTGACCATGCTACTGTTACTTCATTATTGAAGCGGAAGAACTTGGTTGGTCGTACTGCTCAGTGGGCTTTGAAGCTTCAGATATATGATTTTGATATTGTTCATCGCCAAGGGAATTCTATGGCTGATGTTGATGCCCTTTCTCAAGCTCCTCTTCTTTGTTTGCTCTCTTCTCATGTTTCTGATGAGTATGTTGTTCCAGTATCTGTGGATTTTCTAGATAAGGATTTTGTGCCGTTGGCGGTTGCTGTACTTGACGTTCAGTGTCCACAAGGTGCAAAGCACGATCTACCTTCTCTTGATGAGGTTCGCAAGGCTCAAAAGATTGAGCCGTGCATTTGAAGGCTTCGAGATGCGTTTGAGAATCCTGCACCACTTACTGATGACTTGCCTTTCGGCATTTACATTCTCAATATCGCCTTGAAGATGGCCTTGTTTATTTTGTGGGGACGGATCCTGATGATTATTTACGGCTGGTGGTGCCTTCTGTCTTTATTCCGCAATTTCTCCATGCCTACCATGATTCTCCTGTTCTAGGTGGGCAAATGGGACATCGTCGTGTGACCAAGAAGCTGCACAGGTCTTTCTATTGGCCGGAGATGCGACGTGATGTTATCCAATATGTGCGTAGCTGCGTTTGGTGCCAAGCTCGTAATACTCCCCCTTGTCCTGCGAAAAGACGATTGGAGTCAATTATAGTTTCCCGTCCGTTTGAGTTAGTGGCATTTGATCTTATGGGACCTTTTCCACGGTCGACTGCTGGCAATGAGTATGTTATTATTGCTTCTGACTACTTGCCTCGTTAGGTGGAAGTTGGTGCTCTTGCTAGTGCCTCTGCAATTGCTGTTGGATACTTCCTCCTCATTCGAGTGGTGTTCCAGCATTCTTGTCCAGAGCTAATTCTTTCGGATAATAGTCTTGCATTTATGGCTGAGGTATTTCATGTTTTGACGTCTCAGTTGGGGATACACTACACTTTCACAAGTGCTTATCATCCACAATCAAACAGTTTGGTGGAACGGATCGTTCAGACATTCAAAGGGATGATTGCGAAGTATGTGAACTTTCAGCATTCGGATTAGGATGGTTATTTGCCGTCTCTTCGGTATGCCTATGTCACAGGGGTGCAAAGTTTTGTTAGTGTGGCGATGCTAAAAGCTGGGCCTTACATCCTCCTCTCCAACATGTATGCTCTTGGCGAGCGCTTGGGTCTCCCATCAAAGTTCTTCCTTCTTCCATCCAATCAAAAATATAAACTTTTATATGGTCATGATCCAATATTACCAATAGAACTGGGTTTACCTTCGCGATTGCGACGAGCTCCCGATGCTAGGTCATGGGATCAATATTTGACGAGCATTCTTCCACTTGTCCGAGCAGAGTCTGCCGAACACTTAGGACGCGTATAAGTGGGACAACAATGGCACTACAACTCCTATCATCGTCCACCTACAGAGTATAAAGTGGATGATTTGGTGTTGGTCTGTTTTCCCCATCTTACAGTACGTGGTTTATCTAAGGGGCTCCTTGCGCAGTGGAAAGGACCGTATCGGGTGTTGCGGCAAGTTGGACCACAAGTTTATGAGGTTCGGCATGACGTTCAGCAGGCCAATCCTCCGGAGATTGTGCATGTGCAGCGGTTAAAACGCTTCATACAAAGGGATCAGGAGCAGTTAATACCATCTACAGATCCACCAATGCCTCCTCCTGACGTTCCTCCAGATCCCGGCCCATCTACAAGAAAACCCTGAAGGCCTTCTATTGTTCCGAGAGGAGGGGATGATGTGAGGGCCAAATGTACAGTTACAATGCCGTATATTAATATTAGCGTAGTGGGATTTTGGTAGCCGTTGGATTGGTTTCAATCCAGACCACTTGCTCTTGTATATAAGCTAGGGTTTTTAGGTTAATTGATATGCACATTCCTGTATTCCCTTTCCATATTCCAAGCACTCACAAATATAAATATTTTAAAAGGTATTATGAAGTAAGAAACTCTACTCTTAAAAACATCAAAAAATGAAAGACAAATTGTACAAATTATCTAATGGAAGGAAAACCAAAACTTCAATTTTGGATGGAAAGATGTTATATGCTTGCTCCTTATGGTCCTGGAAGAACCTAAAGATGATCACATCTCTGCACTTTCTCACTCCAAGCTGGATGCTGCTGCTCCTTACATCTTTGAGCTCATGGTCAAAGATGTTGGATGTCTTGCCACCGCCTCCAAAGTCATCAAACTCAGAGAATTCATAGGTAAGTTTATCTCTGGTGTGTTCTGCCAGGTTTTATTTGGACTTGATCAGCCTGATTGAGAAGCAGACCCTGAGCATCAATGTCGGGAAGTTCATACCACCACTTGATTATCTTGATCTCCATGGAGTGAACCAGAGAATAAGGGACGATCTGATGCCAAAGTTGCAAACTCGAGATCGAATCCTCGGGCCAGGAATTGATTCCCAAGGACTGGACGGATGTGCTTCTGTCTCTGCAAGACGCTGCTGATAATAATCTCTCAGACATGGCCCTGCTCACTGTAAGTAAACGCAAAGTTCTTGATCTGGTTGCAGCTGAATTGACAACATGAAGGGAGCTGTACTGGGTGATGGCAGTCATGCAAAAACCGCATGAAGAAATCCAAGACGCAATTGGGACCAAACGCCTCCTACATGCACGCAATCCTGAAAGAGGCATTAGCCAGCTACACGGTTCCTTGGAAAGCGTTCAGGACGAAAGTCTTCTGGGTTAGGCCAATGTTTTTGATCTCTTCCTATAGGCAGATGTTGATTCGGGAGATGATCCCATTCTCTGCTGGATGCAGGATGTGCCTGGGGCATCCAGTTGCTGTTCGTTTCATCCCCTTCGCAGTTTTGCAAGCCCAGCCTTCCACCGGATCAAAACTTGGTCGACCTGATAGAGAAACAAGCAAGCTGGCTTCATGGCTAACTTTGCAACTCCCCGGCTGAGCTGCAAATCTCTGTATGAATGAGGGTGAAAACTGTCAATTCACAAAATAAAAAGCATTATGCACTTACATGAACTCATTGAAAATCTGATGAAAACAAGTTTTCCTAGTCCCATCGAAGAACAAGTTTAAGTTGGCATCGAGGAAACATTCAAACTTCTGTTGTAGCAAGACCTGTAGCACGGTTTCGACGTAAAGGCCGAGAAGCATCCCTTGAGGCATGTCCTCGGAGCTCAAAACCTCTTGGGCCGATATGCTCTGTTCCTGGTCCGCATGAAATGGTTCCAGTCCTCTTGGACGAGCTGCAAATCCGCAAGCTTGGAGCGAAGGCCCTGGCAGCAGTTGGCGTGAATGGTGCAAACTCTTTCCATGTCGCTGGCTGGTTCGCAAAACCCACTGAACACCTCCGTTGGCATGAACCGGATCTTGGCTCCTATGGCCTGGAACTCTGCGTGGAGCTTGATCCTGTCGAAGACCTCCTGGTCGTGGATGTGGTAGTAGAACTTAGCATGCCTGTCCCAGTACTTGAAGAGCTCGATCGTCCGGTTATTGGATCTCACGTGCATCAACCCCGTGTTGTCCTGGTTGTGAATGTCCGTCTCGTTGCCATTGAAAAAATCGCAAGCCAGATCCACGTCTGCTTCCGGAGAGAAATTCGAGAAGGGATTTCACAACCACAAGACGTCTGCATCCTGGAGACGATTCCTGGAGAAGAAGTTAGCACAGGAAGTCAAAGAGAAAGAGGTGCAAATTTCTACCGAGAAGATGAAGTTAGAAGAATGTCTCTGCTGAAAAGTCCACGCCATTGCTCTCGAGGAGGATGCAGTGCGAATGAGCTTCCAGGCATTTCTTGTGCGCAGATGGATCCAACGTGAAGATCACCAGCGTCGGAAGAAGGCGGGTTGTATCATCACCAAATCCTTAAAATTATATGTATTTTATTATAACTTAGCCTTTTATATAAGAGTGCATAAAAGTCTATTAAAGTTTTATATTAAAATATGCATTTAGAGCAACTTGTTTTCGATAGTGGGGAGCAAGTATTTTAAAACTCATTTAATAAACAAAGAGAATTAATAAAGAAATCAATGCTAGTATTTCTTTATCTCAGAAATAATTAAAGCTTTTAAATGTAGATAATAACTAAACCACCATACTAGCTTAGCCAGGAAGTAGGATAGCAGTTTTGAAAGCCTTATTCAAAGGAGTCACGATGACAGTCTTGTTAAAAGCAGCTTCCTTCAGCACAGTTTGAAGATTGTGAAACTTGTCTGCGGTCTGAAAAAATACAAAAAAAGGAAAGAAAGAAAACAGTAATCAGTCGAATAGAAGAGGATTTAACTTACCAAGCTGTTGATGCTATCAGCGGCAATCCAGGGTAACAGTAGCATCCAAAAGGCTGCACTTGTAGGCCAGCTACCTGTTGTACCACTGTGGCTCCAGAGACAAGTCCAGTTGTAGACGCTGAAAATATAGAACAGAACAAGCAAGCCCGGTCTGCTACGGCACCTCATCACTGGAAAAAGAAAAAGAAAACACAAAACAGTTGTAACTTGGGGAAATCACAGCCATTGATCCGGTTGACTTGGCCCATTTTTTGCCAACTTGGGTGGAGCTCATACGTATATCTGCACACCCCCTCCCCCTTCACCCAAGTCAAAGCCTGGGTTTCAGAGAGCTATGGAGGACATAATGAGTTCGATCAATGTGATTTCTGAGCTTGCGCCAAATGCCAAAGCGTATCCTCGCCTGTGCAGGCTACTGTTTCTGGTATGCAGTCGACATGCCCGGTACTGCCCCATGTGGATCAAATGCGGGGTCAAATCTCACCTCTCACCATGGATCAAATATGCGGCCTTGGAGCGCCTTACCCATCTATTAGCTAGGGTGAAGAAATTTCTCAGGCAATGCAGTCATAAAAAGCACTGGGAGTGGATCGCTGCATCCAGGTATGACAGGAGATGGGAAGTTGTGGAACTTCTGTCAGAGCTTCAGGAATGTGTGGACATAATCAACTCGGAGACAATTCGAACGTCAGAGGGTATTTGGGCCCGTGTTCTTGAGCGGCTGTCCGATATTGAGCAGGAGCAGGATCTGTATTATGACCTCCACAGTTTGGCAAACGAAGATTGTGACGAATTGGTGAAGAATGCAAGTTCAGAGGAGCTTGTCGAGTACTTATCTCAAAGACAAAGCGGCTACTGTCCAAGGATAACCATGGAAGATTGGCCTACTGGTCCCTTGTCTGATTTGAGACTTCGTTGGCTTGGTCAGACTGCTATACTTGTTGAGCTCGATAATGATGAGGATCTTGAGGTGACGAGGGGTCCTTTCCTAGGTCCAAGTTCCTCTATTGTGCAGATTTTTGGATGGTGCCACTGCCACAATACCGGGAAGCGTTACATACTTACTGAGAATCACTACCATCGCACGTTTGCGGAGAGTAGCCACCGTAACAGACAGGTACTCACCGTTTCTCGCCTTCTGGAAGTCACTTACCAAGTTGCACAGACTGTTCTACACTTGCATAGACATGGTTTTCGGCAAGTTGAGATTGACCTGAAGTTGTATAATACCGTTGAGTTCATAGTTTATTGGTGGCGACAGAAAAGGGGAAATGCAACAAACTTGAAGAGTTTACTCTGTGAATCATTAAAACTGTTTGTGAAGCTGGTTAAAGCTAGTTATGGTAAACAGAATGAAGAGGCCCTGAAAAAAATCATGAACCAGAGTGACTATGACTTTCCAGACATGGATGTGATAATCGATATCTTGCAAGCCTTTCGAAGACAGCACGCAGGTGTGTATAAACATAACAGGCTATGAATTTGAGCTCATGCTAGCAGGACAGGTGCTGAGTGGAGAAGCAGTTTTCAACACTCTGAGCTCCCCGGTGTTGAAGGCATTTACAGAGGCCGACCCTGCCACAGAATTGAGCTTTACAGTTCTGATGTGCCCCCTACACAGTTTGAGAACCTGCCTAAGGTGGTAAAGAAGTCGGCTCTCTATCTTAGTAGTTCATACACATCTGACTTTTGACTTTCAGGTTGTTGCAGAACTCAGCGTTCTGCAGCACCCCCACATCGTGCGGTACTATGCATCTGAGGCAGGCGTTAAAGCAATAAACTATCCATGGATTGTGAATTGCATGCTCTTCATTTATGAGGAGGACGTACCTGGAATAACACTTGCAAGTCTGTCATTCAACGAAGATGAAGTTCGAAGATACACTTATCAGATTTTATCTGGCTTGGAGTATCTTCATAGCAAAGGCACAAGACACGGGTTCATGCTTTAAGATTGATGGTGAAAACTTCATACTGATCTGTAGATTCTTTGTCAGGGCGCTCACAGCTGCAAACATACTTGTGGATACTTCGCATGAAGTTGTTAAGCTCTCTCATTATGGCATCGCTTTGCAATCGGTATGTGTCTAGTCTGTAAACTCTGAAACTGTTACGATTTCCTTACCAGATTGAGGTCGTTCCTGAGATGCCGGCTGAGGTTTGTGGATTGATAATTGTGGCCACATTGCTGAAACTTGTATCTCCAGTATTCTGATAGTCTTTCAGCGGATGTTTGGAGCCTGGGCTGTGTTGTACTTGAAATGATCAAGAATGTGGAGCCACAGAGTAAATACTCAAGCACGGTTTGTATGCTCCCTTTTATTTATTTTTTTAAAAAACATTTTAAGTGGTTGGTTTCATCACAGCTCTCACACTTCTTTGGACGGGAAGTAGTCAACGTCCAATCTGGTGAGGAGGAGACCCCTGAAATGCCTGGGGACAGCTTCCTAGTCGATTGCAATTACTTTTTGCATCGGTGCTTCGAAAGAGGAACAAATAGACCCGCAGCGGCGCAACTGCTTGATCATCCTTTCGTGCGCAGGGTAAGCTGGTCTTTACATAAACAAAATAATATGTGAGTTATTATTTGCATGCTAGGCATTCTATGACGAGTTGGAACGGCCGCGGTGGAAGAAAAGTGGAGGAAGAGGAGATTGAAGACAGTCCGCCTTCGTAATAAAGGAGACTGCGTTCGTAATACAAGAACTGAATGCTCTGAGGTTCCCAGGCTCAGTGATAAGGCACTTTAGGATCTAATTTTCTGAAGATCGATAACAGAGTTTGATTGTTGTGGAGCGTGGCTCATACAAGCCTTGCCTGTTGCACAATGTAATACCAAGCGAATTTTAGTTTTCATTACGTAAGTCATCATCCATTCATTCATATGCTTCTGCGGTGCTCAAGAAGCACGAGTGACTTTAAACACTACATTTATAAGTGAGAGATACAGATTCCTTGATCACTGTTGTAATGGATTATAATATTTACATTGGTATGCATGGTTTCTGAATTGGGGCATTTTTATGGCTTCGGCGGGAAATCTCTTGTGCGTCTTGGCCATGGCGGCCACCGCGGCTCTGGCTGTGGCGAGCTCCTGGGAGTTATGCGGTAAGCGCGTTGCATTCCCTCGTCCTTTCTAGCTGCTTGGCGAATTAGGGCATAACAATCCTTGCTCTCTTCCCGTCAAGATCAAGGACGTGGAGGTCCTGCCGGATCCCGTTGTGAGCGGCCAGGATGCGGCATTCGTTGTTCCAGCGACAAGTAGGTTTTTTCTGCGGAGTTTCTTTTCCAAGTGATTATTGCGTGATTCCATGTAACATCTCAACAAAAAGCTGTATTCCCACGAGTAGGTTTTCTCTGCGAAGGTACTTAGCTGTATTTTAATCCAGCGACTGTGAAGATGCTGAGTAACCTTAAGGTTAGAGACATGTTGTTTCTTTCTTCTTATTGTTCTTGTGATGAGTATTTTATTGTAGGTGCTGATGATTGCCTTGCTTCTCAAAGTGATCATGAGACGCCGGTTTTCAGTTTTACAGGTGAAAGTTCGTGCATTTTGCTCTTCATGTGTTCTAACTTGTGGAAGCAGTGGGAGGCACTTGCTTTGCTACTGATTGGTATCAGTGTGAATCAGCTGCATACGACGCCAACTGGGACAACGGTCGTCGTTCCGCTTCAATCCATTGCATATGTATACACCTTGATTTTTGTAAGTCAGATTTTCTATGCATCCTGTGCTGTTTGCTCAATCTACGATCTCCGTTACAGGTCACTGTGCCATCCATGGCATCCGTGTTCAATGAACCGCGCCCTTAAGAGTCAGTTCGACACAAGTGTTCATCTTCAGGTGCGTGTGCTACACGTAGTTTTTGTAAATGTTTTTCTCTCTGTTTCTTTTTGCAGAACCTGTTTCTTTACAGTTATGGAGCGATGTTCACCTTTCTAGCGATTCTGGTTACTGCTGATTTTAGTGGTATGGCCTTTACTCTATCTGGTTTTTTTCTTTTTCTTAATCCATGTGCGCTTTGTCAGCTGGGAATGGGCTTAATCGGGCCACTCTCGGGCAACAATGTTTCTAATCTTCAACAACGCAGCGCAAGGAATACTCTCTTGCTTCTTTTTAAAATATGCTGGTAAGTCTTGAACTTTTGATGTGGCGCTTCTATAGGTGCGTTTTTCCAGATGCAATCTTGAAAAAGTACTCGTCTACTGTTGCAACAATCTTTACGGCTTTGGCTTCTGCCGCCTTATTCGGGCACAAACTGACAATCAACTTTGTCTTAGGAGTATCAATTGTTATAATTTCTATGCACCAGGTATTCTCGTAGCTCTATTGCAAATACTCTGCTAACGTAATACTGTAACAGTTCTTCTCGGCACTTAGCGAAACGAAGGACGAAAAGCTTGACAATCACATGGACACGTTTGTTGACAAGCATAACACTTACACGAGGTAACCTTTATATGTGACCTCCATTTGTGCGTTCTAAGTTTCACCCTTCTTTCCTTTAGGCCCAAGGATGACGCTTTTATCGATATGACTACTGGGCTGGTGAACAGGTATGAACATCAATAGTATTTGCTATGTATACTTACATCCGGTGCTAACAGGCAAACCTTAAAGTCGGTATGATGGATGACAGACAACCTTTGCTTCCTACTTAAGCTCGAGCGCAGTAATATAGCAGTGTTAGTAGTATATGGAGCAGCATACTGTACAAAACCGCGGCGATGGGTAAGGAGACGGTAGCGTTTCCATTCAAGCCAATTTTTGCTGAGGAAGGTGTGAGTGGCTGTCTCAGAGCGAATGCACACGAGCTAAATAAGATGGGGGGGGAAAGCATTTTCGTTACCAGGATCAATGGCTGTGATTTCCTCAAGTTACAACCGTTTTGTGTTTTCTTTTTCTTTTTCCAGTGATGAGGTGCCGTAGCAGACCGGGCTTGCTTGTTCTGTTCTATATTTTCGGCGTCTACAACTTGACTTGTCTCTGGAGCCACAGTAGCTGGCCTACGAGTATGCTACTGTTACCCTGGATTGCCGCTGATAGTGTCAACAGCTTGGTAAGTTAAATCCTCTTCTATTCACTGATTGCTGTTTTCTTTCTTTCCTTTTTTATAATTTTTTCAGACCGCGGACGAGTTTCGCAATCTTCAAACTGTGCTGAAGGAAGCTGCATTTAACAAGACTGTCATTGTGACTCCTTTGAATAAGGCTTGGGCATCAGAACTGCTATCCTACTTCCTGGCTAGCTTCCAAGACGGTGACGATACGACTCGCCTTCTTCCGACGCTGCTGATCTTCACGTTGGATCCATCTGCGCACAAGAAATGCCTGGAAGCTCATCCGCACTGCATCCTCCTCGAGAGCAATGGCGTGGACCTTTCAGTAGAGAAGCCGTACATGACCCGGGACTACTTGAGAATGACAAGGAAGAAAATATCGTTCCTGAGCATTCTTCTACAGATGGGATAGAACTTCATCTTCTCGGTAAACCTTTGAACCACTTTCTCCTTGCCTTCCTGTACTAACTTCTTTTCCAGGAATCCTCTCCAGGATGCAGACAATTTCTCTCCGGAAGCAGACGTGGAGCTGGCTTGTGACTTTTTCAATGGCAACGAGACGGACATTCGCAACCAGGACAACACGGGGTTGATGCACGTGAGATCCAATAACCGGACGATCGAGCTCTTCAAGTACTGGGACAGGCACGCCAAGTTCTACTACCACATCCACGACCAGGAAGTCTTCGACAGGATCAAGCTCCACGCCGAGTTCCGGGCCATAGGAGCCAAGATCCGGTTCATGCCAACGGAGGTGTTCAGTGGGTTTTGCGAGCCAGCCAGCGGCATGGAAAGAGTTTGCACCATTCATGCCAACTGCTGCCAGGGCCTCCGCTCCAAGCTTGCGGATTTGCAGCTCGTCCAAGAGGACTGGAACCATTTCATGCGGACCAGGAACAGAGCAAATCGGCCCAAGAGGTTTCGAGCTCCGAGGACATGCCTCAAGGGATGCTTCTCGGCCTTCACGTCGAAACCGTGCTACAGGTCTTGCTACACAGACGTTTGAATGTTTCCTGGATGCCAACTTAAACTTGTTCGATGGGACTAGGAAAACTTGTTTTCATCAGATTTTCAATGAGTTCATGTAAGTGCATAATGCTTCCTATTTTGCGAATTGCCAGTTTTCACCCTCATTCATACAGTGATTTGCAGCTCAGCCGGGGAGTTGCAAAGTTAGCTCTGAAGCCAGCTTGCTTGTTTCTCTATCAGGCCGACCGAGTTTTGATCCGGTGGAAGGCTGGGCTTGCAAAACTGCGAAGGGGATGAAACGAACAGCAACTGGATGCCCCGGGCACATCCAGCAGAGAATGGGATCGTCTTCCGAAAGGCTCCAAGGTGCTCATGGACATCTGGCAATCGGAAGAGATCCAAAATACTGGCCTAACCCAGAAGACTTTCGTCCTACCGTGTAGCTGGCTAATGCCTCTTTCAGGACTGCGTGCATGTAAGGCAAGCCGGGGACATCTGAAGGCCTTAAGAGACGCTTGGTCCCAATTGCGTCTTGGATTTCTTCATGCGGTTTTTGCATGACCAAGGGGTTCTGAATTATTTCTGCCATCGCCCAGTACAGCTCCCGTCATGCTGTCAATTCAGCTGCAACCAGATCAAGAACTTTGTGTTTACTTACAGTGAGCAGGACCATGTCTGAGAGATTATTATCAGCAGCGTCTTGCAGAGACAGAAGCACATCCGTCCAGTCCTTGGGAATGAATTCCTGGCCCGAGGATTCAATCTCGAGTTTGCAACTTTGGCATCAGATCGTCCCTTATTCTCTGGTTCACTCCATGGAGATCAAGACAATCAAGTGGCGGTATGAACTTCCCGACATTGATGCTCAGGGTCTGCTTCTCAATCAGGCTGATCAAGTCCAAATAGAACCTGGCAGAACGCACCAGAGACAAACTTACCTATCAATTCTGTGAGTTTGATGACTTTGGAGGCGGTGGAAGATGTCCAACATCTTTGACTATGAGCTCCATTTCAGATTCTTGGTAACCAGTAGCAGCATCCAACCTGGAGTGCTTCCAGAACCGTAAGGAGTAAGCATAACATCTTTCCATCTGAAGTTGAAGTTGAAGTTTTGGTTTTTCTTCCACTAGATAATTGAGGTGTATGAATAAGAGGCTGTGCCATGAGAGAGGAGTGATTTTGTAATGGTTATGAGTGTATGGAATATAGAAAGAGAATATATAACATGTGCATATCAATTAGCCCAATATGAACATATGAAATATAGAAAGGGAATATAAAAAATGTGCATATCAATTACCCCAAAACCCCTAATTTATATATAAGAGTAGATTGAAATCAATTTAACAACTATCAAAATCCCATTACATTAATATTAATATACAGCATCATAGCTATACATTTGGCCGTAATATTATCCCTTCTTTTCGAAATAATGGAAGACCATCAACGTTCCTTTATAGATGGGTTGGTGTTATAAATGTGACTTTGGGTATTAAAAAATATTTGTCAAACAATCTTTACAGACATTTTTTCCTTACTGGCATGACGGCAGAAGGTTGGTACTGTTGATTCTTTTTATTAGCCTCTTTTGTCCAAGTGTTAGTAAATTAGACTTAGCATCTGTACTTGGCCGGATAAGCATAAGGACGGAATTTTTAAGTGTCTATTTGGCCAAACATACTTGGCCCAACTTTTTAATTTTATTTTACTCTATCTTGCACTAACTTGGCAAGAACCCTTACTTATTGAGATTGGTCCTTCAATATCGCTGGATGATAGTTTATCGTGTTTGCCAAACACCCTCACTATCATGCCATCTATGTTAGTTTCATTTTGGTTTCAAATGTTATTTATGGAAAGTGTCTAGATTTGCTCATTTAGCATATTTACGGAATGTAAAGATCAGCCTAAACACAATGGTGTTTGATTTTATGGGACTTTTTCCATGATTGATGGCTTATATATGCAATGGGATTTCTTACATCAATACACTTCCAAAATCAATATCAAAAGCATCTATGTGCAAAATGAAAGGTCAAGTGATATGTCAAAACCAAAGAAGTCATTAATAACTTTTTTGAAATCCATGAATGCCCACTCACAATCCACAGATCAAATGAAAGATAACATTGATGACTTTAGCAACACTCGCAATGGTGAAATGTGATAAAAAAGATGATTCACAAAATGACTAAAATATTGTATCTTGCCTAAGAAGCATTGTATATCATTTACACACTTCAGAGTAAGGAACTTTAGAATAGCCACAAGTTTGTCATGATCAATTTGCAAACCCTCACGAGAAATACGGTATCTAAGATAAATCGTGCCCTTGGACCTAAACACGCATTTCGACTGTTTCAACTTTAAATATAACCAATCCAACACTTTACAAATATTATGGATCAAGACATCATTAATGAAGGCAATAGTCATCTCTAATATATCGTAAAGAATTTTGTCCATAATCTGCTGGAAAGTCTAGAGCATTGTTTAAACCAAATAGCATCACCAAAAACTCGTACAAACCAAACAATGTACCAAAAGCAATCTTAGGAATTGTCATGAATATAACTTTGCCATAACTACCTTCAATTAACTTCACAAACAATTTTAATGATTGTGTCTCACCAGCACCTCGCGGCAAGCTTTTCAAGTTTGTCACATTCTCCCTCTCTTGTCACCATCAGTAAACCATGAACTTGACTATATTATGCAGCCTTAGGTCAACCTTAGCTTCCCAAAAACCATGTCTATGAAAGTGTAGAACAGTTTGTGCAACTTGGTAAGTGACTTCCAAAAGGTGAGACACGATGAGTGCCTCAGTATGATGACTGTGGTGGTCGTCACTCTCCATAACTATGTGACTGTTGCGATTCTTGGTAAGTATGTAACGCTTCCCGGTATCGTGGCAGTGGCACCACCCAAAAATCTGGACAATAGAGGAACTTGGACCTAGGAAAGAACCCTTTCGTCACCTTGAGATTCTCATCAAAGCATCCATTTCCCTTCTCTTCTGCAACTCATCTGACGTCTTGCAACAATGGGAAACGATATGAGAAAGGTAAGCACAAAAAAAGAGGAGGAAAGCTATAAGCTTTCACCTCAGAATACCTCTTTAATTGAGCTCGACAAGTATAACAGCCTGACCCAGCCAACCAAGTCTCAAATCAGACCACTCCTCGATTGAACCACCAGGCCAATCTTCCATGTTTATTCTTGGACAGTAGCCACTTTGTCTTTGAGATAAGTACTTGACAAGCTCCTCTGAACTTGCATTCTTCACCAATTCGGCACAATCTTCGTTTGCCAAACTGTGGAGGTCATAATACAGATCCTGCTCCTGCTCAATATCGGACAGCTGCTCAAGAACACGGCTCATCCACATACCCTCTTTTAGAAGACGTTCGGATTGCGTCCGAGTTGATTATGTCCACACATTCCTGAAGCTCTGACAGAAGTTCCACAACTTCCCATCTCCTGTCATACCTGGATGTAGCGATCCACTCCCAGTGCTCTTTATGACTGCATTGCCCAAGAAATTCCTTCACCCTATCCAATACATGGGCAAGGCGCCTCAATGCCGCAACTGGGAGTGTGCATAGTGGGAATCTGGCATTTTGTATCTGCTTCCACATGGAGCAGTATAGGGCATGTTGATTGCATGCCAGAAACAGCAGCCTGCACAGACAAAGGATACGCTTTGGCACAAGCTTAGAAATCGCATCGATCGACCTCAGTATGTCCTCCATAGCTCTCTGAAACCTAAATTTGACCATAGAGAACCTACGAAACTCCTTTTATACGTGGCCTATGCCCTTTTCCAAACTCTTTCATATAAGTTCCTAAACCATGAAATATTTTCAGAATATTCTAGTATCTGGCTTTGACTTGGTATATGTAGCACTGTTAGAGATGGATGCAGATCAGCAAGTCCTTACTGTATGGTGAGTTTTGACGGGCAGCAGGTCAAGACCCAAGTACGACACAGGACTCTGAATCCGGAATGGAATGAGACCCTGGATCTCAATGTTTAGGGGGATGCATTGCAGCGAAGCCATCTCTGTTCTGAATTACACGAATTGGCGTTCTCTGAGGAAAATCAAGATAAAGGGTAGTGACGTTCCGCATCGTTCAGCTGGGCCTTCCGATTCCGAGCAGCGAGAGTACCCGCTGAAGATCAGCTTGGGCTGCATCGAGATCATGGAGAGAGGTTCGTTGACACTCAAGCTATGGTGGAATGGCCTGGTTGACCATCAAGAACATCCTTCATTTCGGGTTCGAATCCCTGCACCACAAATTCACAGCGTCGAGCATGAAGCTGAACTCGATAAGATCATGACGAACATAGATCAGACTGCAAGTGCTGTCGGAGTCCATAAGGAACAGTGCTTGCTGTTGCGTTTGGTTTGCAAGGCTAGCGTTGAAATGGCAAGAGGGTATGCAGGCAGTAAGCTCTTCTTAAGGAGGCTAAGACAATTCATCAGGAAAGCGAACGGGCTGATTTGAGAGTGTTCCAAGCTTGAGGAGCATTGGGAGTGGCTTGCGGCTGTGAAATACAGCAGGAAATTGGAAGTCAAGGAGATCGTTGAGGAACTTCATTTCATGTGCGGGCTCATTGGCGGAAGTCGCATTCAGATTTTGCCGCCAAATTTGCATGTAGCATTGAAAGCCGCACTGAAACAACAGGCCTAATGTGGGAATTTTAGAGGTCACTATGCTGAATACATACTATAGAGAGTAAATTCTTCAGAGCTGCCCGAATTGAATTTGGAGAATGTGAGTGTTCATTTCGGGGAAATGCTCGGTAGAGGAAACTTTGGTGTTGTTCGTAAAGGAACGTGGCATCAAAGGCTAGTTGCAGTCAAGGAGTTTGATCATCTACCACCAGAACTGCGCGCACTATCAAGTATACAGGCTGCTCCTCACATTGTTCAAACCATCAGCTACTACAAAAAGGTTAATGAAAGCTGTACCCACTTGGTCATGGAGGTAATGAGGATGGATCTAAAAGAGTATGCAAGCAAGAAAAAAGGGCTCATGCACTTGGAACTGGTTGAGATGCTGCTCCAGATTACCAAGGGCCTCGAGTTCTTGCATGGAAATGACATCGTGCATAGAGACCTCAAGCCAGAAAACGTTCTAATCGATTTCACTGATGAGGACGACTCCAGTAGGGACGAGTATTTTCATGGCCCCAGAAGAAAGGGTGAGAGCATGTACTCAAGATCAGTGGACCTTTACAGCCTTGGAAAGACATTCTCCCAGTTGGTCTTGTCATAGCCTGCCATCAGGAAGCCAAAAGCAGAGCTGGAGGCTCTGATATGTCAATGTTGTCACAAGCCATCCCAAAGACCGGTTGTAAGTGATGAAGTCATTACGTGACATTTTGCGCTTCAGTCTTGTAGGCGGAAAAACCTGCCATACACAAAGCATATATGGGCATTTTTAAATATGGCAACTGGATGTATTTTTTGTTTTTAATTGCTATAAGAGCAATTTAAACGTATAATATTTTTGTTGTGGGACATGCCATGTATTCATGGGGCATTGACATTTTAGACTGCCATGCAAGTTTGATACCACTTCATTTCAAATAATATAATATCACTACAAATTTAGTAAATGTTTTTTTTTTCATTCTTGCTTTTTTTCACTTTGATTTGTGAGTTTTTTTTTAATTGTGACTTCTCTCTTCTTTCCTTTACACATATTCAACTATGTCATTTGCCTCTCATTTCTCATGAAAGAGCACTTGTATTTCTCACATAATAGCACCCTTATTTCTCACACAAGAGCACACCTTTTGGCTATGTTCATTTTAGCAGCTTGGAGGTAGGCCTCCCATCCCTTAAGGCATGATATTCCACAGGCTATGGAATATTCTTGTAATATTCCTGTGGTTTGGAGCATAATACCACAATTGTGCACTAATTTAGGCTACATAGTGCTTAAAGTGTCACAATAAGGGCATTAGGCAAAGACACAAAAGCTTGTTTTGGCTGCTTGAGTGCTATGGTTTTACAATAAACAATTGAATCATATAGTAGCTATAGAACATTAGTTCTATCAATTTCTCAATCTTAATCACACATATAGAGTTTTTGGCATTACAATGGTTTATTTTGCTACGACATTTTACAAAGTGATTGCATAAACTTTTCTTTCTAGGGCTTTTGCTTTTTGGTTTAAGCTTTGTAATCATTATAGTGAGTCTATTGTGGGGAGTGTAGATTATTATAACACAATATTTGTATGTAAGTAATTGATTTATGCCAATTCTTCTCTAATGCATGTGGTAATGTATGTGGTTTCTATTTTAGATTCTTTTCATGGCTAAAGAACTGAGAGTTTTGTAATAATTTGAATGACATACACTTTGGTACACTGCTGTAGTGCGGTGATTTGCTAACTTTTTGGGTTCAAAATCTCATATTGTTTTGTTAATGTTAATACACTTTTAGGTAAATTGCCTATTAGTATGGCTTAAATTTTGAGAATGTGGTCCTTCATCTCATTTATTTTTCAAAGCATTGGGAATTGGGCTGTCATTTATGTTAGGTGAGGATAGTGAGATGATATACTTTACATGAGAGGATACCAATATATTTATATCATAATATATATACCTCCCCACATTTACACTTTTGTGGCCTTTTTTTATTATAGGAAAAAAATTCATGCTCTATTAAATCGGGAGCAAGGAATTCTTATACATGGCTTAGTGGCAATATTTACTTACACATAACATCAAAATTAGAGATTATGTCAACCTCTTTTCTTCCAACACAATGATTTTACATGTATGGGTGTTTCCATATAACCTTACTCTATTTCAAATCATAAAGCTAATAGTACAAGTAAAAGATGACCGCAAGAAGGTGAAGAGGGAGTGGCAAAGGAAGATCTCACTACCATAGAGATTTACCTTGCAAAGAAAAAATAAAATTTTAAAATTGCTTTTAAATCAAAATCAAAATCTACATAAATTAATGAAAAGAAATATTTTTATTTTTAACATTTTATAATATACATATGAATACTCTAAGTATCTATAAACTTTTAGGAATATTCAATTACTCTAATGTTCTTAATAATCTCATTAAATTTAAAGAAAAAGATTTAACTTAAAATATGTTTATTTAGATGAGTATCCCACTATTGCTATTTCTGTATGTGAAAGTTCAGTATTGAAGTTGATGCATGCAATACCAAAATCGGTGAGTTTCAGGACAAACTGCTCTCAAAAAATATCATTATTGATATTAAAATTTTGGAAGAATATATAAGTGACAAAATTTTCTTTTAGTTATTTAACCACACTTTCAACTACTTTTAAGTGTCTTAATTATAACTTTCACATATCTTCATAATAACTTAGGGTATTTACTAAGACTTTATATAACTTCAAAGCCATTTTGACTTACTTCATTAGTTATTTAAAACCATCTATATCTGCAATATATTTTAACTTGAAAAAAGGTAATTACTAATATTTGCTAACTCATTGAAATACATTCTAAATTAATCTTTTTTGCAACAGAATAAAAAAGAAAGGAAAGCTTCCACCAAGTAAACTTAAATACTTTATAAAAAATGAACACTATCTTAGTTTTTATTTGAGCTATAATTAATTTAATTATTATGTAAAAGGCCAAAATTAAAAAGTTGAATATAAATATTTTAAAAGGCTTTATGAAGTAAGAAACTTTACTCTTAAAAACATCAAAAAATGAAAAACAAATTGTACAAATTATCTAATGGAAGGAAAACCAAAACTTCAGTTTTGAATGGAAAAATGTTATATACTTGCTCTTTATGGTCCTGGAAGAACCTGAAGATGATCACATCTCTGCACTTTCTCACTCCAAGCTGGATGCTGCTGTTGCTTACTAAGAAAGCTCATGGTCAAAGATGTTGGACGTCTTGCCACCACCTCCAAAGTCATCAAACTCAGAGAATTCATAGGTAAGTTTATCTCTGGTGTGTTCTACCAGGTTTTATTTGGACTTGATCAGCCTGATTGAGAAGCAGACCCTGAGCATTAATGTCGGGAAGTTCATACCGCCACTTGATTGTCTTGATCTCCATGGAGTGAACCGGAGAATAAGGGACGATCTGATACCAAAGTTGCAAACTCGAGATTGAATCCTCGGGCCAGGAAATGATTCCCAAGGACTGGACGGATGTGCTTCTGTCTCTGCAAGACGCTGCTGATAATAATCTCTCAGACACGGCCCTGCTCACTGTAAGTAAACGCAAAGTTCTTGATCTGGTTGCAGCTGAATTGACAACATGAAGGGAGCTGTACTGGGCGATGGCAGTCATGCAAAAACCGCATGAAGAAATCCAAGACGCAATTGGGACCAAGCGCCTCCCCCGGCTTGCCTTACATGCACGCAATCCTGAAAGAGGCATTAGCCAGCTACACGGTTCCTTGGAAAGCGTTTAGGACGAAAGTCTTCTGGGTTAGGCCAATGTTTTTTATCTCTTCCAATTGCCAGATGTTGATTCGGGAGATGATCCCATTCTCTGCTGGATGCAGGATGTGCCCGGGGCATCCAGTTGCTGTTCGTTTCATCCCCTTCGCAGTTTTGCAAGCCCAGCCTTCCACCGGATCAAAACTCGGTGGGCCTGACAGAGAAACAAGCAAGCTGGCTTCAGAGCTAACTTTGCAACTCCCCGGCTGAGCTGCAAATCACTGTATGAATGAGGGTGAAAACTGGCAATTCGCAAAATAGGAAGCATTATGCACTTACATGAACTCATTGAAAATCTGATGAAAACAAGTTTTCCTAGTCCCATCGAACAAGTTTAAGTTGGCATCCAGGAAACATTCAAACGTCTGTGTAGCAAGACCTGTAGCACGGTTTCGACGTGAAGGCCGAGAAGCATCCCTTGAGGCATGTCCTCGGAGCTCGAAACCTCCTGGGCCGATTTGCTCTGTTCCTGGTCCGCATGAAATGGTTCCAGTCCTCTTGGACGAGCTGCAAATCCGCAAGCTTGGAGCGGAGGCCCTGGCAGCAGTTGGCATGAATGGTGCAAACTCTTTCCATGCCGCTGGCTGGCTCGCAAAACCCACTGAACACCTCCGTTGGCATGAACCGGATCTTGGCTCCTATGGCCTGGAACTCTGCGTGGAGCTTGATCCTGTCGAAGACTTCCTGGTCGTGGATGTGGTAGTAGAACTTAGCGTGCCTGTCCCAGTACTTGAAGAGCTCGATCGTCCGGTTATTGGATCTCACGTGCATCAACCCCGTGTTGTCCAGGTTGTGAATGTCCGTCTCGTTGCCATTGAAAAAATCGCAAGCCAGCTCCATGTCTGCTTCCGGAGAGAAATTCGAGAAGGGATTTCGCAGCCACAAGACGTCTGCATCCTGGAGACGATTCCTGGAGAAGAAGTTAGTACAGGAAGGCAAGGAGAAAGTGGTCCAAAGTTTTACCGAGAAGATGAAGTTGTATCCCATCTGTAGAAGAATGCTCAGGAACGATATTTTCTTCCTTGTCATTTTCAAGTAGTCCCGGGTCATGTACGGCTTCTCTGCTGAAAAGTCCACGCCATTGCTCTCGAGGAGGATGCAGTGCGGATGAGCTTCCAGGCATTTCTTGTGCGCAGATGGATCCAACGTGAAGATCAGCAGCGTCGGAAGAAGGCGGATCGTATCGTCACCGTCTTGGAAGCTAGCCAGGAAGTAGGATAGCAGTTTTGATGCCCAAGCCTTATTCAAAGGAGTCACGATGACAGTCTTGTTAAAAGCAGCTTCCTTCAGCACAGTTTGAAGATTGCGAAACTCGTCCGCGGTCTGAAAAAATAAAAAAAAGGAAAGAAAGAAAACAGCAATCAGTCGAATAGAAGAGGATTTAACTTACCAAGCTGTTGATGCTATCAGCGGCAATCCAGGGTAACAGTAGCATCCGAAAGGCCGCACTCGTAGGCCAGCTGCCTGTTGTACCACTGTGGCTCCAGAGAGAAGTCAAGTTGTAGACGCCGAAAATATAGAACAGAACAAGCAAGCCCGGTCTGCTACGGCACCTCATCACTGGAAAAAGAAAAAGAAAACACGAAACGGTTGTAACTTGAGGAAATCACAGCCATTGATCCGGGTAACGAAAATGCTTTCCCCCCCATCTTATTTAGCTCGTGTGCATTCGCTCTGAGACAGCCACTCAAACCTTCCTCAGCAAAAATTGGCTTGAATGGAAACGTTACCGTCTCCTTACCCATCACCGCGGTTTTGTACAGTATGCTGCTCCATATACTACTAACACTGCTATATTACTGCGCTCGAGCTTAAGTAGGAAGCAAAGGTTGTCTGTCATCCAGTATACCGACTTTAAGGTTTGCCTGTTAGCACCGGATGTAAGTATACATAGCAAATAATATTGAAGTTCATACCTGTTCACCAGCACCAGCAGTCATATTGATAAACGCGTCATCCTTGGGCCTAAAGGAAAAAAGTTAGAATGCACAAATGGAGGTCAAATATAAAGGTTACCTCGTGTAAGTGTTATGCTTGTCAACGAACGTGTCCATTTGATTGTCAAGCTTTTCGTCCTTCGTTTTGCTTAGTGCCGAGAAGAACTGTTACATTATTATGTTAGCAGAGTATTTGCAATAGAGCTACGAGAATACCTGGTGCATAGAAATTATAACAATTGATACTCCTAAGACAAAGTTGATTGTCAGTTTGTGCCCGAATAAGGCGGCAGAAGCCAAAGCCGTAAAGATTGTTGCAACAGTAGAAGAGTACTTTTTCAAGATTGCATCTGGAAAAACGCACCTATAGAAACGCCACATCAAAAGTTCAAGACTTACCAGCATATTTTAAAAAGAAGCAAGAGAGTATTCCTTGCGCTGCGTTGTTGAAGATTAGAAACATTGTTGCCCGAGAGTGGCCCTTGAAAAGATTAAGCCCATTCCCAGCTGACGAAGCGCATATGGATTAAGAAAAAGAAAAAACAGATAGAAAGTAAAGGCCATACCACTAAAATCAGCAGTAACCAGAATCGCTAGAAAGTTGAACATCGCTCCATAACTGTAAAGAAACAGGTTCTGCAAAAAGAAACAGAGAGAAAAACATTTACAAAAACTACGTGTAGCACACGCACCTGAAGATGAACACTTGTCTCGAACTGACTCTTAAGGGCGTATTCATTGAACACGGACGCCATGGATGGCACAGTGACCTGTAACGGAGATCGTAGATTTAGCAAACAGCACAGCATGCATAGAAAATCTGACTTACAAAAATCAAGGTGTATACATATGCAATGGATTGAAGCGGAACGACGACCGTTGTCCCAGTTGGCGTCGTATGCAGCTGATTCACACTGATACCAATCAGTAGCAAAGCAAGTGCCTCCCACTGCTTCCACAAGTTAGAACACATGAAGAGCAAAATGCACGAAGTTTCACCTGTAAAACTGAAAACCGGCGTCTCATGATCACTTTGAGAAGCAAGGCAATCATCAGCACCTACAATAAAATACTCATCACAAGAACAATAAGAAGAAAGAAACAACATGTCTCTAACCTTAAGGTTACTCAGCATCTTCACAGTCGCTGGATTAAAATAGAGCTGCAAGAAAAAATCAGAACATAGTAGGCACTTGACAGAAAAAAGAAACGAAGAAACCACGCGAAGTTACCTGCATTGCGAACTTGAGGTAGTTGTTAACTGCGTAGAGGGCTGCTGGAAGTGCAAGCAAACGATTTGCACGGGCAGCCTGGGAGCAAATGCATAGAGTGAGTTTCAATCAAAGAGGATAGAAGACGAATTAAAAACCTGGAAAATTACTCGAGGACTCAGGAGCGATCTCTCGCCAGCTCTTTGCTTGCGTGCCTGAAAGTACTCTTCAATACAGAGAAGAAGAGAACCCCGGGCGTTTCTCACCTGGAAAACGAGCATACAAATCGCGAAGACCACCTTGGTCATTTCCGTGAGGAAATTCACGCTAATCGGGCTAAACAAAAACTTCCCATCTACTTTGGACATGTACACTAGGATCGGCTGCAAAGAACACCAGATCAAACGACATAGATCAAATTCTACCCCACAAAAGAATGATGGAGAATTTCTTACCTGTAGCGCAATGAGCATACAATCAAACGCTACAAGAAGAATGCTGAGGCCCCGGAACCGCGACGCCTGGTCAGAGTGATGCCGGTCATACGCCTTTGAGATCGAGCGAACCGTAGGCGAGGCATTCCCCAGCTTGCCGCCGCAGCGATGACACTCGAGCATTCCGTTCTTCGTCATCATCCGGAGCAGGATCTAGCAGATCCTAGCGCAATCCAGCATCGCGTCGAGCTACCCCGGCGAAATTGAGCTCTCAGATCTGGAGCTCCTCGTTACCAAAAACCCTAGAACGCCTATTAATCTAGGGCATCAAATTTGCGACGAATATACTGTTCATAAATAAGAGCCAATCATATGCGGCCACGTGCCATTTAACATTGAGTTTGTTTGTCAGAGCTGTGCTCGATGCGCGCGTCTTAGTCTCCTGTGAAATCCAAAGAGCTCCGCCGAAGAAGAAGACGATGACGATCTTAGCTCGTCCTCCTGGAGCCTCTCCGCGACGATCCTATCGAGTTCTTCCTGCTGCCTTCGCGATTCTAAATCGATGGGAGTGGCGCTGGAGCTGCGATCGCTGCTGCGCCGGGAAGGAGCTCTAAATGGTGCTGCCACCCTCCTAAAGTTTCCAATCGGCCGGCTTCTATCGACCGAAACTTGGCGAGAATTTTGGTTGCTTCGCTGCGCTCGGGAAGTTCTTTCATCTTCTTCTTCCCTCTTGGCTTGTGATCTCTTGGCTGTCTCGTCCGGGAACAAGATCTGGATCGTGTTCCACAAGACGACGTTGATCGCTCCTTGCTCTCTGCATTAAAGCTTTTTTCTCTTTTCACAGAAAACAAAGGAGCTGCTTACTTTATAGCTTGCCGACACTTTGGACAGCGCAAGCCACACTTGCTGACCGCGGACTGTAAGCAACTCCGGCAGAAACTGGAATTTGTGACAGAAGAGTGATCGAATCTTTAGAGTTTCTGAAAGAAAACAATAGCTACCTGTGACCACAGGAAGTTGTCGATGGCTTAAAACATACATCCAAACAAACCTGTGAAAGCTCAAAGAAACTTAGCGTGTAGCATGAAGGAGGATGTAAGAACCACTTACGGCACAAGAGAGCTCGTCTCTAAGCTGGTCCAGACAAGCTGGTCTAGCCGCTCCACCTTGTTCCTTGTCTTTGTCGCCTTGGTCTAACATCAGAGAAAAAGTAGAAGAAAATTTAGAACCAGAACAGCAACCTGCGATGTTGTACCTGATTTATCAGTGCCAATCTCGTTCTTGACACTTTCCTTCTCTTGTGAAGCTAAAGAAGACCAACAAGATCATTTTGTAAGCAAATAAAGCGTAAGAACTTACTTCCGGATCTTCCATCCTGTCCGACTCTGTCGATTTTCTTTTGCAAGTTGCCCACTCGAGCACCATCTGATAGAAATAAAAAAATTCTAACCAAACCAAGCCCAAGAACTTACTTCCATCCTCCCCGACTCTATCGATTTTCTTTTGCAAGTTCCTCACTAGAGCACCATCTGATACAAAAAAAAAAGAGTGTGTAGAACACGAAGGAAAAAAAAAACCGAGAAAAACTCGAAGTACCTCCACCATCATGTATCGTAAGTCTCTCTAAATTCACATCCGAGCTATCAATCGGTCGGCGAGGCTTCCTGTGCCTAGAAACATGCCAAAAGAAAAGAAAGGAGATCAACTAAAGAGAAGAAACGAAACTTACACTCGATTCAAACTGGCTGGAGTAGTTGCTTGTCCGGGGGTTCTCACATCCCTCTTTCGATCTCCTCTCTCGCCGCTGCTCTTGTCTGGCGTCGCCGCCGCCTCGCAATCCCACACCGCCAGCAGGGCCTCGTCGTCCCATCCCGCCATCGCCGCGGCATTTCTAAACCCTGGACTCAGATCCACAGCCTGCGAGACAGATCCTTTCTCTCCCTGCTGTTGCCGGATCGAGTAACTTCCCTCGCGCACCTGGATTTCTTCTTCGTCAGACGAATCGATGATGACGATCACAGCGCCACCGCCGTCGCCGCCGCCTCCTTCCCCCAAAGAACCCATTTCACAAGTGATAGAATATACCCTAAAGAGATTCGCATATTAACGGTCATGTTGGCAAATTTCACCATAGTACACTGTTATCGCTTTCAGCTTGTCATTTACAAAATTCTTCTCGATCTGGAAGGAAAATAAAAATCGTTTGATCAGTCCAAAAGATTAGGAGAACATGTCTAGAGATGTACCTCGAACTCCACTGGCGGATCGAAAAGACACGAAAGCTCTTTGAGCTGCTCGAGATCCACATTCCTGGGAAGATAGAAGGCGATGTTGGATGCGACCCTTTGCGCCGTGTTGAAAAGAGTGAATCTGAAAAACTTTGATAAGCAAGCTAAAGATTGAAATCGATATGATAATCACTTACCCATCCTTTGGCTGAAGCATTGATATATCGTAGCTTGTGTCTTTTAAGTACTCTGGACCACCCCAAGGTGGAGATAGAAATATAACGTCTGCCTATGAGAGAACTGGAGGTAATGAAAGAAAAGAAACGAAAACGAAGAACCTTGAGACTCGGTGCTAGTTGGAAAAAGTCGCCAACAACAAAATCAATGCGATGAGACACTCCATAAATCTCCGCGTTGTGCCTGGCATACGCGATCTTCATGGGATCTTTGTCAATAGCAATAACATGCTCGCTCCTGTGACAAAAAAAAGGAAGCAAGATCTGTGTGAGCCCGCAATAAACTCGGTTTGAAAACTCCCACCTCAAAGCGAACTGAATGGTGTTACCGCCAACTCCAGCGAAAGCATCAATCACCACCGGAGAGGAACATCGCATGGCCTGGTGCTTGGCAATCACCTCAGGTGTCACAGAAAACCATCCCTCTTCGTCCATTTTGATACCTTCGTCGAACTTTGAGAAGAGGCTGTACCTTTGCCACCAGTACTTCGCAGTTTGGAGGCCGATTCCAGCTTCTCGCAGCTCTTTGGTGATTTTTGTTCTCCTTCGTGACTTCACAACGATATTTTCCACCTTTGAGAGCTCTGATACTGAAATGCTCTCAAGCCTAAAGACAAGAAAGGACTCAGAAGTTAGACGAAGAACGGAGGACTCACTTGACTGTGGTTTTGGTTACGATGGCCATATTATCCTCGTCCATCGCATCAGCACTGACCGCATTTTCGTTTTCCTTGTCCATCGTACCAGCACTGGCCGCATTTTCGTTTTCCTCCTCAAGAACTTGAGACGTATCAAAGTTTGCGTAGTCCTCAAATCCTTCCGGAGCATCCCAAGTCGTTTCCAAGGTCTCGCTGTTATAGTAGTAGTAGCGACTGTAGTAGTCATCCCAAGCAGGCACCCAGACACTCCTTGTGTCTCCCTTACATTCTACGCTTATCTCGTTCTTCTCGGCATCATCAGCAATCTTCAGTGTTTTCTTTACCTTGATCCTCTTCTTCTTCTTGAATTTTGGTTTCTGCAACACACACACAAAAAAAAAGGAAGAAGATATCAGCCACGAATTTTTCATGAATCTAGACAAGTCTACTTGAACGCCATCCTAGAAAAAAAATTACCCATATGAGACACCACGGCCACTTAAACAACCTCATTGCCTACGATGAAAGAGGAAGGCAGTCCCAAAGCAGCTAGCTCCGCTAAAAGCTCCTCCTCCAATGCCAAGTCTGAGAGAACAAAATAATTCCTTCAAGGAGTAAGAGGCAAGAAAGAACAAGCATCCAAACCTTCTTCTTCCTCTTCTTCAATCAAGGAATTTTCCTGGGAAAAAAATCGTCAACAAAGCCTCAAGCAATCACGAATCTAGATAGAGTACCTCGAAATCCTCATATTCTTCATAATCTGCTTGCTCTTCAGTACCATCGTGCAATCCATAGATCAATCCATCATCCCTAGGAGAAGAAGAGAAGAAAATCGATGAGAGGCAAAGAAATAGGTCGATCGATCACCCACACCAAGTGGATCTCCGTGATCGGCAGCAGCGCCACAGCCCCGCCTCCTCCTTCCTCCTGCGCCATCGCTTAAACCCTAAAACCTATCACAGGATATTCCCGCCCAAGGAATATTCCTCTGGGATATAGCGCCTAGTTTCACAAGGCTGGGATTTGATGGCCGCCATAGCCCAACTCTCGCTGAGTAGCGCCGCCCTATCCTCGCATTCCTCGCGCGATTTCGAGTTCTCCAAGAATGCACCTAGGAGGAAAGATTTTGGCAGCGGCAGGAGGGATTTCGCGGCGGATCAATCGCGCCGCGCAGCGCCGCCGCCAATCGGCGCCGCCAAGAGGAAGTGGAAGGATCCATTCCTCTTCAACGAGGAGGATCCCGACCTGGTCTGGGGGAATTTGTTCACGGAGGGCGGGAGGCAGCCGGAGCAGGAGTACATCCCGCCGCTGGATCCCAAATCCAAGTCGGGGTTTCGCAAGGTTCCAAAGGGCTACACGGCGGAGATCCGGCCCCTGGCGGCCAAGGTGAGAGACGAGGTGCGCAAATGCCTGTGCCTGGTGGCGGGGGGAGTGTATGAAAATTTGCTCTTCTTCCCAGTGATCGAGCTGCTCAAGGATAGATATCCAGGCGTGGAGATTGACGTGATCGCGAGCGAGAGAGGCAAGCAAGTGTACGAGATGAACAAGAATGTGTCGAGAGCTTGGGTGTTTGACATCGATCAGCAGTTCATCAAGCCTGCGCTCTACATGGAAATGCTCACGATGGTTAAGGTCTGTAGGAAATCTTTCACTATTTTCTCTGGGTGGCCTTGCGCTCTAGGTAGCCTTTTATCTTTTTGTCATGCATTTACGTGATCGTCTTTGTGACCTTTCGATACTTCTTTGTTCTAAAGTTTTGTTTACTACGTGACTTTGTGAAAGTTTCATGGTTTTTTGCTGCAAGTCTTCGATGTGTTCTTTGATTGAGTTTTGATATTTCAGGTTTGATGCTGTACGAAATAATCGTTTGATCTTTGCAGAACGAGTACTACGATATGATCGTCTCTACGAAACTGGCAGGCATTGGCCACGCCTTGTTTATGTGGCTCACAGACTGCACTAAAAACATTGGTTACATATATCCCGACGTGAACGGCGCTGGAGCTGGACCATTCTTATACGCCGCAGTGGATGCTCCAAGGTTGAATCTAGCAGAAGGTGGTTATCATATGTAAGTTTTCAGAGTCACAGTTTTTACAGTTCTACGACCAAGGATTAGCCTAAAGTTTTTGATGCAGGTATCATGAACTTAATGAAGAGCTTGGGAAGCCCGCCAAAGGCATTCCCAGAATTTATCCTCCTCAATTGACCGTCGGAATATCTTCCAGGCTGAGAGGAGTCATTCTCAAGAAATGGACAGAGGCATCGCTCCGGAGAGGGGAGTTTATTGTCATCCACGGCATAGAGTCAGATTCTGCCGCAACTATGAAGTCGAGAGGGGATTCAGACTCCTTGCTGCCATTGTCAAAGTGGAGCTTGATAGCAAAATCGTTGAGGTACGTCGTTCTCTATTATATCGCCAAGTTCTGATTTCCTGGGAGCTTTTAGCAGTAAAGTTCCTGTGTTCGTTATCCCGCACGAAAAGGAGAGGTCCAAAGTTCAAGAAGTGATCGGTCCCGATGCTCACATCATTTTCATCACCACTCCTGGCCAGGTTTTCCCAAATTTGCGTACTGTCTTTCTTGGTTTCCTAATATTGAAGGCCTTTCGCTTTTTTCTTCAGATTGCAGCACTTATAAATGATTCATTTGGAGTGATCACAACCAACACTGCTGCTGTGCAACTAGCAATATCTGTTAAGAAGCCAACGTAAGTGATGGAACGTTGTGGTGCTTGCTAGACTTGCTAAAGACTGTAATTGTGCTGCAGTGTTGCACTGTTTTCTTCGGATGAGAAGGCTAAGCTGTTTGTTCCCAATCATGCAACTTCTTGTGACTGCATAGCTTCAGATACTGGTAAGCTTCTAGATGTGAGCATGGAAAAGGTTAAGAATGCTATAAACAAGATGGTTAGTATACGTGAAAGAAAAGAAGACCTTGTAAAAACTGTAATATAAAGATCTCTACACCTATATAGTTTTACTTTAGTATATAAAATTTGGAGTTGGAAAATACATATATACATTGGCTACTTGTAAGATTGATTGTAGGCTGATTGTGCTCGCGGAGGGACTAGAGAGCAAGGAGACATCACTGAATCATTCAGAGTAACTTCGGGGGTGCTTCGACAGTGCAGGCATCGGTTTCGTTGCAACCGTAGTGCACGGTGCTGCCAAAGACGAGAAGAGCGATGATCTCTAAATTTTGTGAACCCTTTATTTACTAGAAAAGAAACGTCCCAGTCCCTTACTCTTACGGTCTGATAATCCTGGGGACTGGACGCAAAGAGCCATCAGCTCTGTCCATAGGATCGTGGAAGAACTCCCAGGGGCCATAGCGATCAAAGGCCTCCAAAACGCTCTCCTGGATCCACCGTCATGTTCCAATACGTTCTCCTCGCCTGCCGCCATTCTCTCTGGGTGATGGCCAGTCCTCACCGGTCAGCTTAACCTTGTACACACACACAAGGAGGAGAGATGACAAACTTTCACGGAGAAATTGCAAGCTTTAACGCACCTCGGGTGGGTCTTGAGCTCTCCCGCAAAGACATGCTTTGGATCGGTAGGGGGAATGGAGCTGCAACCCTTATTGCAGTGGCCGGGCAGTCCACACCTCTCGCACTCTCGCGTGTCCCAGCTCCAAGAGTCCCTCCCTGGCTTCGCTTCAAACACGTCTATCATAGCCCGTGTCCGGCAAGGGCTTGCCGTTCATCTTCTCAATGGCCTTGCGCTGCTAAAGGTAGGGGAAACATGGATCAGATCCGGCAGCGCTAACGTCCATCTCGTCGAATCCATGGCAAATTCTAGCGGCGGCAGCCGTGGCGCCTGCATTTCTGGAATGTAAGTGGATTTTGGGGGGATTTGTTGCTCCTTCTTTCTTTAGTCTTCTAGCCGATTGGGAAGTTTTTCTCGTCACGCATGATCTAATTAATTGCGAAAAGAAGAGCAAAACGGGCTATGAATCTTGTGTATTTACCTTGGCGCTGGTGATATCTCCAAACCGGATGAATCCATCCAGGTCTCGTTGATCGGCATACCAGGGCAAGCCGCCCACAACGCAAGTGAAGCCGCCCATGAGTATGCTTTGCAATGCTTTGTCGCTAACCACAGTGAAAATATCGAACACGCTTTCCATGTTCGCATAGACTTTTGCTTTGGAACTCAAACAAACACAAAGAATTTTCAGAACAAGAAAAAGAGCTCTCCTACGCAGAGAGAATTGCCTGAGCAAGTTTCTTAGAAAAGATGGAGTTTTCGATAGATACCTGTGCTTTGTATTTGTCTCGGCAATTTTGTGGCTGCGACCAGGATCTAGGCTGCGAGGTCGGGCATCGAGGACGGCCTCTGAGCTAATTTGTGGGCCGCAAACTCCTTAAGCGTCAGCTGTCGCGTTTGTGCTTGCCAGGCGCTGCTCCACGGCTGCGTATTGCTGCTGGAGCATCACAAACTTGCCGTGTCTCCATTCGATGCTGGCAGTCGGCTTGGATTATGCTGAAAAGATCTTTAGATCTTCGAAGAACAAAAAAGTTAGAAAAGAACCTCAGCGTCTGTTACACGTTGCACATCTCATTCCTTTGTCAAATCTGCTTCAGTTCTGCAATACCCACAGCTAGTAGCTTCGTCATGCAAGAAAAGCAGAATCAATATTTTCTTGTTAGGAAATAAGAGCAACTCACCTTTGAAAATAGGTGCTCAGCAACGCCAAACTGTATTGATATATAAATCTCTCACAGAAACAATGTTGGACATAAAAGCATCCGACTGAGCAATAAACCTCTTGTGCATTTGATACATAACTCTCTCACAAAAACAATGTTTAATATAAAAAAAATTTAATTGAAGTTTATAACTCTGTAACCAATAGAGTTCAACTTTATATAACAATATCAATTTGCTTGTTCACATTTAAAAATAGATGTTTAGCACATAAGAGAACATTCTGGAACAAATATGAAAAATAAAATCAAATAAACACCACCATAATTATTAATGCTACTAATATATTTCTTAGACATGATTAATGTTACTAATATAAATAAAAGATTCAATGTTACTTAGTTCAGTAGGAATAATTTAGAAAAGCCATATAGTCGTCATGAGAAGCCCACTATAAATGGAAATCATTTAGATAAATTTATAATTTTTTCTATCTTATTTGCATAAATTGACATTTGTCTTTTATCATTCGGGTCATCACGAGTAACACATACAAGCTGATGATAGTGGGGACGCCACAAAACTTGACTGCAATTAATGTGAAAAGGATTATAAAAATTAATTTGAATTTGACTTTTAGGAGTAAGTTTTTATATTGTGTGACTTTCAAGCGCTGAAAAATTTACTCTCTGTAATATATATTCAGCATAGTGTCTTTTAAAATTCCCACGTTGGGCTATTGTTTCAGTGTTGCTTTGTCGAGTTGGGTTGCTACATGCAATTCTGGTAGCAAAGTCTGAATGCAACTTTCGTATATATATAAAAAATTTAAATACATTTCTAATTAATTTATTTAATTTATAAAGATATCTTTGGTGTAATGATTTATGAGTTTTGATGAAGAACTAGTTGGCTAAAAGGTGACTAATAATGTGTATTGTGTTGGTTTGTAGTATTCACAAATGATTAACATAAATATGTTTGATTTCTTATGGGTTTATTGATTTGTTATAACCAGCAATTTTCGGAATATTCTTCAGACCTTTTCTTCCCAAGAACCCTAAATTTCGGAATGTTTACTTCCTCTTCTAAAATTTGAATGGAGGTATATGCAGAGAAAGATGCGTGGGCTCCGAGATTTGAATTTTGAATTACTGGCTAATCCCTGGGCGGGGAATATTCTCGGCTATTTGTCTAGGGTAAGAGCGGAGAGAGGAATGCTTGATGCGGCAAAGCGGTTGGAATCGGGTTTGGAGGTCCGTGAAATCTCGGCCTAGAGGTCGCGCGGCACTGGAATCGCGGCGGCGGAGCTCGGATCTCTCGCTCCAGGGGTTAGGGCACTAGAAGAAGCAGGCATGGCAGCTGAGGTCTTTGTGAGGAAAAAGACGCGGTGAGGAAGCTGGATCGAACGGCCGCCAGCATTTTTCGCCCGCTGCGCTGCGATCCATGGCATCGGTAGATCCTAGTGAATCCAAGGCTGTCGTCGTCGGGCTTGAAAGGAAGGGTCTCAAAAGAAAGCTGGCTGAGACGTCTTTGGCTCAGGAGCCGCAAGATGGTCCTGGAACTAGACTCTTGTCCGACGCCGAGGTTTTGCTCGAGACGCTCAATACGAGCACGACGTGGAGGGAGAACGATCGCTTCGCAGCTCGTCAGGCGGCCCATGCTCTAGCAGAGCTTGCAAAACACGGTAAGAACTCGATGTTCTTTCTCGTGTTTTTTCATCCAAGATTTTTTCCTGTTTGGTTTTCTTATCTCGCAGAGGATCACGTCGATCTTATAGTCGACAAAGGAGTGGTGCAAGCTCTCGTTCCATTTCTATCTGCGCCAGTCTTAGAAGAAGGAGAAGGACCGATTGCATACGAGCATGAGGTTGAGAAGGACGCGGCTTTTGCGTTGGGTCTTCTTGCAGTTCGGGTGCTCTTTCTTTAGCTTGTTTTTGATGCTCACCTATGTTCCTTACATTTTCTTTTGTGGACAGCCGGAGCACCAGCGGCTAATTGCCGATGCCGGTGCATTGCCTTCTCTGGTTTCTCTTCTAAAACGTCGAGTAACTGGCCAGAATGCACGGGTTGTGAATGGTCTCGTCCGGAGAGCCGCTGATGCCATCACTAACCTTGCGCACGAAAATGGAAGCATAAAAACCAGAGTGAGGTAAGACTTTATCTCTTTCGTGTCAAGAAGCTTGATGTGCCGTCGCAGGGCGGAAGGTGGCATACCACCCTTGGTAGAGCTTTTAGAATCAAACGATCCGAAAGTGCAGCGGGCGGTGGCTGGTGCTTTGCGGACGCTGGCTTTCAAAAACGAAGCTAACAAAAACCAGGTAAAATACTGTTATAAGAATTCAGTCCATCTTAGTATCTGCTGTCGCAGATTGTCGAATACAATGCGTTACCAACTCTAATTTTTATGCTGCGGTCTGAGGACGTAGGGATCCATTATGAAGCGGTCGGTTTCTACAAATTATTCCGTGTGAACTCAAGCCTTCGCTTCGCAGGTTGGCGTCATCGGGAACCTTGTTCACTCATCTTCAAATATTAAAAAGGAGGTGCTTGCCGCTGGAGCCTTGCAACCGGTAATTGGGCTTTTGAGGTATGCAAGGAAATCTGAGTACTTTAGTGCATCAACAGCTCTCGTGTGATCTTTTGAAGCAGTTCAAGGTGCCAAGAAAGCCAGCGTGAGGCCGCGCTACTACTAGGCCAATTTGCTACAGCTGATCCTGACTGTAAAGTAAGTTGGGAGCTATTGCTGTATCGTTCGCTGATTGAAATGTTTATCAGGTGCACATAGTGCAACGGGGGGCTGTGCGACCTTTGATAAGGATGCTCGAGGCTGCTGACCCCCAACTTAGGGAGATGGCTGGCTTCGCTCTTGGACGTCTTGCACAGGTGCTTTTCAACGCTTTGATCTGATTGTTGAGTTCATTACACTGATTCATTTCTACGATGATACAGAATACACACAATCAAGCAGGAATTGTGCATGATGGTGGTTTAAGACCGTTACTAGATCTGCTTGATTCTAAGAACGGATCATTGCAGCACAATGCTGCTTTTGCGTTGTATGGTCTGGCAGATAACGAGGTGAGTTTTCTGTGTAAGATTATGATGTACCATGTTCTTTGCCTCTCTTGTGTTGTGCCAGGATAACGTTTCTGATATTGTGAAAGAAGGTGGTGTGCAAAGTCTACAAGACGGTGAGCTTATTGTACAGGTAAGGATCGAAACTGTTCTTTCTTTTCCTTTTTTTTTTTTCTAAAGATTGATCCGTTGTAGGCATCAAAAGAATGTGTGGCGAAGACTCTCAAAAGACTCGAAGAAAAGCTTCATGGAAGAGTATGTGCTGATTTTATACATTTTGTTTTCTCATCGTGGTTCTGATTTCCATAGGTGTTGAAGCATTTGTTGTACCTGATGCGTCAGCCTGATAAACTAGTTCAAAAGAGAGTGGCCTTGACCTTAGCACATCTTTGCACTCCGGAAGACCAAAGATTAATCTTTCATGAAAATAACGGTAACGTAATCACTGTTCGAATTGTGGCTCAGCTTTTCTATGCTGCAGGAATGAACATCCTTCTAGAGATGTTGGGGAGTTTTTCTAGTCCCAAGCAGCAACGCGACGGAGCTCTGGCACTGACTACCCTCGCCAAGAAGGCAACGGGGCTTTCTCCAGTCGATAGTGCCCCCGCGCCGGAAACTCCACAGGTGTGCGTTTAAGCTCTTGTAGGCTAACTATTGAGCATGGCTTTTGTCTCAGGTATATCTTGGTGGAAAATATGTGAACAATAGCACGTTATCGGACGTTACATTCCTCGTTGAAGGTTGGATAAACCTTCGATTTGCCTAGACTAACGCAACTGTATGTTTCAGGAAGGCGCTTTTATGCCCATAGGATAGCACTATTAGCATCGTCTGACGCTTTCAGAGCGATGTTTGATGGTGGCTACAAGGTATGCGCTTTTGCATTTCTCTCATTTCCTTGTAATAAACTTCCTATAGGAAAAGGAGGCCAAGGATATTGAAATTCCCAACATAAGCTGGAAGGTGTTTGAGATGATGATGAGGTACGTCAGCCTTTGAGCACAGGCATCCTCGTTACTACTCACATTTCCTCAGGTTCATTTACGAGGGACAGGCGGAAATTGGCTCCGACATCGCCCAGGATCTTCTTCGAGCTGCCGACCAGTACTTGTTGGAGAACCTGAAACAAAAGTGCGAGGAATCAATCGCCCAGGTAATGCTGCTGATTTCCAGAGGAGAAACTCAATGCAGCTTTGCTTTCTCAGGACTTGACCGTCGAGAACGTTGCCAACGTTTTTGAGCTCGGCGAAGCCTTCCACGCCGTCTCGTTGCGCCACACATGCGTCCTCTTCATTCTAGAACAGCACAGTCAGCTCTGCACTCTCCCTGGGTACGTCACCAAGAAAAGAACTTCAGATCCTCGCTCACACGACGTGTCGCAGGTACCAAAACTTGATCCGAAGGATTACACCCGAGATCCTGGAGTACATGCACCGCATTTTGAGGCCGAGGCCTACCACATCGTAAGAAAGTGAGCTTTCATCTCCTTTTTCTCCTTCGACAAGAATTCAAAGATGGAAATGGTGGTGATGGAAATTCAGTGACAAACAACAACAACAACAAAGAGACAGGACTCTCGAAAGAAAGTGAGGAACAGAGATTTACTCGGGAGTGGCGGTGGCGGTGGCGATGGTGGTAGTGTTGGAAGACTGATTACTTGCGGCAGCTGGGTTAACTGGATCATCGGCCCAATGCTTGTCAAAATCCATGTCATCCAGTGTGTTGAAATGGAATGCTCCATCGAAGAAGAGGCTGTTGATAGCTGCTCCGCGAGAGCTGCCATCTCCTCCACTGTTGCCGGCGGTGGTGGTGGTGGTGGCGGCTCCGCCGGCGGCGCTGGAGGTGATCATCGCATTGACAAAGCTGTGATCAAAGTTTGGTGCTGTGGAGTTGGGAGTCATCTCCTGGTAACTCCCACCACCTGGGAATCCACAGTTGACGTTAAAGTCAGGATGAAAAGCCGGGTAGTGGGAGCCAAGCTGGTCGATCTCGAAGTTGGGGCTCCTGGAGCGGTGATTCTCGGGCTTGGAATCCATGAGATTGTGTGGCTCTTGCGCACCGGTTGTAGTAGCGATGGATGATTTGCTCGAGTCGGACGTGGAATCGTCGGCAGCGTGGTGATCATGCTCAGTGTTTGTCACTGGCAACTTGTGATCCAGCGGGAGTGGAAACATGGTAGTGGGCATCCCAAAGTGATTGAAACCAGCCATGGTTTCCATGCTACCACCACCACCACCACTCATTCCCATCGCCATACCAATTGGTACCTTGCATGGGGGATACAAGCTTCCTCCGGGCATGTTGAGATCCAAAAGTTGGCCACCGCCGCCACCGCCGCCACCATTTGCAACTTGGGCAGGATTGTTGCCAAGGTCTGGATGCAAGATCCTCTGGAGTGCCATGGTGTGGTAGGCGTGATAGAAATACATGGCGTATTTGCTGATGATGGTCTTGAAATCCACTGCAGCACTGCCGCTTCCGGCTGAGGGTGATGCAGTGCCGCTGAAGCCGGCCTCCTGGACCTTGCCATCGCAGATGACGATTACGCCCACCTCGGCATTGCAGAGGGTGGCGAGCTGCTCCGCTTTGCCTTTCAATCCCTTGAGCCTTTTCTTGAATGTCTCCCGGCGCGACTTGTCATTCTTGATGAATTCGATCGGGAGCTTGCGCCGTCCCATTCATAATCTGTTCATGATCACTGAATAAGCTGCAGGAAAGGAGAAAAAAGAGGAGAGAAAACGAGAAAAAGAGAAAAAGAAAGGAAAAAGAAAAGATAATTTACAAAGCTTTTTCAATTTCTTGTAGTAAGAGAGTAACCATATTAGGACCATGTTCTCTTAATTAGGCTGATGTTTATGGAATTGTTAATAAGTTTTTGTTTTTCCTTTAAAAAACAATGCCTATTTCATCCTTTGCAATAGAAATTAATTTTAGAAATGACGCACAGACAAAGAAAGCATTTAGTAAGAATGTTGAAGGTAAAAAAGATATAATCTCCTGGACAATAATGCTAAAAGAATATATTCATGCTGGGGATCTTGAATATGCAAGATTAATCTTCGATAGCATGCCATTGAGGGATTTAATCTGCTGGAACATCATGTTAAATGCATATTCTCACAAGGAAAGCACAAAGGAGACAGTTGAGATGTTCAATTCCATGCCTGCACACGATGTAATTTCGTGGACTACTATGGTATTTACATATGCTTCTTCTGGGCAAATTAGTTTAGCAAAAAAACTGTTTGATGCAATGCCAGAATGGGATGCTGTGTGTTGGGCTACAATGTTTTCTGCATTGGCACAATGCTTGAAATTTACCGAAGTTCAAAATATGATTCAAGATGTTCCTCTGCAAGATTTATTTGCAAGAAATGCAGTTCTTTTAGCACTTGCCCAAATGGGGCATTTTGTTTGTGCCGAACAAATGTTTCAGAAAATGGAAAAGCGGGACATTGTGTCATGGAACACAATGCTTAAGGTGTATTCCGGTGCTGGAGAGCTTCACAAAAGCAAGCGTGCTTTTGATACCATGCCACAGCACAACTTGGTCTCGCTGAATTCCCTGCTCTCTCTATATTCTCTCCACGGGCATGTAGAACTTGCGAAAGAAGTCTTTAGCTCCTTACCGCAGCAAAGCTTGATGTCGTTTACAACCATGATAAATCTCTACGCCCATCTTGGAGACATTGACAATGCCAAGGTGTTGTTTGATCAGATGCCTGTTCATGACTCTGTTGCATCAAATGCGATGCTGTGTGCTTATGTCCAAAACAACAATCTTCTTAAAGCCAGGCAAATTTTTAACAGCATGGCCTATAGAGATTTTGCATCATGGACAACCCTCATGTCGGCATACTCTCAAGATGGCAATGTTCTCGAAGCTAGGCATCTGATGTCTCACATCCCATACTTCAACACAGTGGTTTGCAATGTAATATTATCTTTTGATTTGTTAGAAAAATCAAAACATCTGTTTGATACCATGCCGCAGAGGGACATAGTGACGTGGACGACTATGATCAGCAGATATGCCCAGGCTGGGCATATCAACGTTGCCAACTTTCTCTTTGAGACAATACCTCAACACAATCTAGTAACATGGAATGTTTTGCTAGAAGCTTACTACTTACAAGGCTCCGCTGTTCATATAGAAAAGCTGTTTTCTAGAATGCCTGCAAAGGATCTTGTGTCCTGGAATCTTGTCTTGACAGCGTATGCCTCATTTGGGCATCTGCGAGATGCTTTCGGCATTTTTGCCGGGATGCCCAGAAAGGATCTGGTATCCTGGACAGCCATGCTGGCAGCATATTCTAACAACGGCAGCCCGGAAGATGCCTTCTACGCATTTAACCTCTTGGTTCTCGAGGGGCATCTTCCGGACGAGGCATGCTTCACGTCCTACTTAGCCGCGTGCGTTAATCTTGGCGACGTAAATCGTGCCAGATCTTGCCTCGCGTCTCTCACAAGTGATTACAGCCTAACACCTTTGAAGCTCCACTTCTCATGCATCATTGGAGTGCTATGCCGGACTTTCAATTTCGCAAAGTCCCTGGAGCTAATGGAAGCCATGCCTTTCGTGCCCGATGTTTTAGACTGGACGTGCTTGCTTGGAACATCAACTAGCTACACGAATAATCTGTTAAAAAGGTGACAAAACAATGAGACAAAGATTTCTTACACTAAGCCTACCAAAGTTAGTATTAGTTTCCACGATTTAATTACACTGCTCTCAGCAAAACCGATCAAAAACTCTCCTTCTCATGTTAGCTCTCACACACTTTTCTCTCTCGCGTCTCGCTCTCCCTCTCTCACTATTTCTTCATCGTCACTTCCCGTTTAACCAGTCCAAGCACCGCTGGAGCTTGCTACCGACACTGGCACCGCTTGCGATCGAGGAACTGGGCTGTGGAGTGGAGACTGGAGAGGAGGAGATTGTCCTACCAAAACGTTGGAATGCAATCCTTCACCTCCTGCTAGAATCAAACTTGAGCAATCGAGAGAAGTTCCAGAGGAATCGGACCAGAGAGACATACTCTGAGGCTGCGAGAGTTGCGAAGGAGGTCCAAGCGGTCCTTGCTGCATCTGCAGCGGTTGTCCTTGCATCATAGCCTGGTAAAACAACATAAATGAAACATTGCTCGTTTCCCTTCCATTACACAGTCAAATAGAATACCTGAGGATATTGGTGGATGTAAACGAGGGGAGGTTGTCCATAGATGACTTGCTGTGGATACTGCTGCAAAACACAAAACACGAGAGAACTAAGACCAAAGAAGACAAAGAGAAAAACTAAAGAAAAGGGCGCGTACGTTTGGATGAGGATAAGCGGGTGTAGGTTGCATCGTTGGAGGCATATAGCGTATTGCCTGTTGCTGTCCGTAGGGACTTGCACCAACCTGTAAGAAATCACAACTAAGAACTTCCTGTCAATCTTTGGGACAACTGGGATCACCTGTGCTTGTGTTTGTGGAGGCAACTTAATCGGAGGACCAGCAGGACCTGGAATGAAAGTCGCAGAAGGTTGAATGTAAGGCGAAGTCGTGACACCAGTCGCAGCCATGGTGTTATTGTACTGCGTATATTGAGCCGGTTGTCCGGGCTGCTGCATGTACACGGGCATTCCTTGCATCGGGGCAACCGGAACTCCCGCGGGCACGTAGATTGGACTCGGATTGATTGGAGAAGCCGGCCTTGCTGGGGGAAAGCTCGGCGTGAACACCTTTGCATTCGGATTTAGCTTAAACTCCTGCTTCCGAAAGCGTCAAGAATGTGAAAACAATCACAAGCTACACACCTTTGCGTTCGGATTTAACAACGACTTCTTGTTGCCCGTAGCAGAATTGTTGGCAGCAGATGCTGGAGCAGCCGGTGTGGATGGCCTGTCTGCTTCGATTTCTGGCGAGGGAGACTCGGACGCTTTCGGTGCAGCTGGCTTGATCGGACTACGTGGCCGAGAAGATGAAACGGAGTTCGTGCCCGAGCTTGAGCTACTAAGGCCTACTGGAATAGGTAAGGCAGACGCAGGTGGTGGAGATATTGTTGGCAGACTCGGTTTTGCATCCCCAGGCCTCAAATCATCTGATAATTTTGCGGCAGCAGCTGTAAACGATCTTGTAAGTTTCGAGTTCAAACAATGGAAAAACAACGTACATGATGATTTTGGAAGACGACCATCGAAGTCCTTCACCTGCATAAACAGAACGTAAGATAAAAACTAAATGAGAGTGAGGCTTACAGTTCTCTCCTTAAAGTTCTCGCTGAAGTGTTTGAGCTCATTGACTTGATCCTTCTTTCCTTTCTTCGTAGTTTCCTTGAAGTCGCGGAAGTCCCTGTCCAAAGACGATTGTAACAAGAAAACTAGTGTCACAAAAAGATTGCAAACCTCAACACTTCTTCAGAAACGCTGGTATTTAGATTTAGTGCCTGAAGACCAGCATCACTAGCTGATGCAGATGACCGTGGTGACGATGTTGCTGGAACCTGCTGAGACGAATCCTGGAAACGAAATTCCATCAAAACACAAAATCCCGACTTAAAATACAAATGCACCTGCAGAGGCCGCTCCACTGCCGTAGGCGTACTGACATTGCTTTCAGTCGATCCAGAGACGCTACCAAAAGTTTCTTCATTCCAGCTGTTTGCGGCCTTGTGGTGATCATCTTCTCCATCACCCTCGGTATGCGATCTCAAGACCGAAGAGAACCTACTTTCTTCATCAAGAGTATCCAGCTCGGCGTCCGAGACGCCACGATCCTGATAGTCTACACAGTTAGCAAAGTAGACAGTGTGATGAATTACAGACCTCAGCCAAGTGATTGTTCCTCGTTGAATCACCCTCGATTTCTCTCGCTAGCCTGGAGGCCTCTCTTTCTCGTTCCCTCGTTTGAGGACCCTTCTCCAGCTTTGTTGTATACAACTCCTCGTCAAATGTGGTTTCAACTCCGAACAAGGCTTTGTTTGTTTCGAACTGATCCCAATTTCTGAGAAAACAAACAATGCCTTCAGTAAAATCGAAACTCGCCATTAACTAACCTGTTCCAAGAGTTCTGGAAGGTAGTGTCCAGTCCCAGATTTCTCGGAGCTTCGCTGTCAGGCTTCCAAGGCTTCAATTCCCTCTCCGTATCGCGTCGGTTTTGGGAGATAAATGAATCAGTCAGAAGCTCGTTCTTATTTTCGCGAGAACGACCATTCGGAAGGTATTCCCCGGTGAGAGAAACATCCTGAATAAAAGGCAGAGATATCAGTCACAGATAAAATAGAGAAAAATGAATGCGAGGCACCTTAGCATCGATCTGCACTAGATCTTTTGCGTAAATGATAAGCGATTTCGTCGGTGGTTTCCGTGCAGCCTGCTTCACAGCGTCACCCTTTCCAGATTTCCCGCCGGCTTCCTTTGTGAGCCTGGCCATCTTAAGAACCACTCCTGGAAAAAAAGCGAAAACCCACAGAGCGTCAGCTACGATAGAATCGCGAAAGAAACAGAAAACAGCATACCGAAATCTTTATCCATATTCGCAGTGTGAAAAATCCCCGAAAAGACCGAGCCATCCTTGAGCTGGACCTCGACGAACTGCCCAACTAAGCACATCGTGAGATAGAGGAGACGGCCATGGACGTCGTGAGCTCCACCCCTCAGCTCCTCATCTTCGATAGCGGAAGAAGGCCTTCCAGTGCTGGGCGGACTCGAGCTGTTGCTACTGACATGATTCTGTAAGCCAGAAGAGGAGCGCACCGGAGGAGCTCCGGCACCAGACCTCCAATTCGGGGCATCCGATCGATGTGCCGGGCTGCGACGTCCGACCCCGTTGCTCCCAAACGATCGCGGGTGATTCATCCCTCGCTGCAAACCCTGTGCCGCGCCGCGCACCGATTCAGCCCCAGCGCCCCTGGAAATCAAGCTGCATGCATATCGGAATACCGGGGAGAGCCAAAATCTAGCGCGCCAAGGCCTCAGATTCTAGAGAATGCTGGATCAATGCATCAAGCAAAGGCGCCGCATTTCCAAGCCGCGGAGAGAACTTACGCTGGAACCCCTAGCCCGCTGCTCACACGCTAGCGCGCTCGATCAGAGCTCTCGTACCATCGATCAGCTCAAACCCTAACCCTAAATTGGTGCACTGAGGGAGAGAGTAATGCTCGCGAGGCCGTCCGATGCTCTCAATCTAGCGGCGATTAAATGCGCAAACTCCTCTGTTATAAGCAAAGATCTTGCGCAATGAAGCTTACAATTTTATTGTGTGATCTGCCAAATCTTTACAAATCCAAAGATCTAATTCACAATGAATCCAAAGTGTTAACTACATTGTCTTTTAACCAAATGAAATTGAAAAATAAAAAGGAGAAAAAATAAATCCAACCAAAAAATTGTCCCAGGCAAATTCTTGTCGACGACGTGATCCACGTTTGCAGTCATTAGATAAAATCGAAGAAGAAGAAGAAGATGCCGCTCTTCTCTATAGAATAAAGAGATGAGTAGTATACGTTGTTGGGTGTTGTTACCTGTACAACCAAGTCCTCGATAAAAGATCTTCTCGGAGCGCTCTCTCATCGATCCAAGAACAAATCTGTCAAGAAAATCTTCCCCTGCCGGATCCTTCCCTGTTCCAACTCCTCCGCGACGATCGATCGAGTTTTCGATCGACCATCGCATCGGACACTGACACTCCCTCCTCGGAGCCAACCAAACTACGAAAACTCAAAATGGAAGAAAAAAATTTCTCGCCATACCTTCGTCTATTGCTGCTGCTGCTGCTGCTGCTGCTCGGTTTTCGGCCAGGAAGCATAGAACTCGTCCGTGGAAGAGGACGACGTCGTCTCCACAGGACCGTCCTTCACCAGAGTTTGCACCCACGAGAGATCCGGCTCCGGTCCACCGTGAGTAGCAAACGAGGCCGACTTCCGGAACTTGCCCAAGTCCTGTCCTTGTATCCCCCAGTCTGGCTTTCCAGTGGGAGACCCCCAGTCGGACCACGAAGCCGATGGTAGCGACGATCCAGACACCTCCTTCATACTCCAGCTCCCTCTATCCCGCTGTGCAAACGCGGAGGCTTTGCGTCCCGCTGCCAACACCTCCGCGGCCGTGGAGGTGCTTAGATCAGTCCCGTCTGAACATCTTCGAGCCATGGAGCACGGCGACCCCGCACTGAAGATCGATTGCACCGGGCTCTGGAACTGCGGACTAACGTGACTCTGGAGCTGTGACATCGTTGACAGCGGGGAGAGGAGCTGCTGGAGCTGGAGCTGAGAATGCAGCTGCTGGGAGAGAAGCGAGTGCTCCTGCGGCGTGAGCTGCGACTGGTGCACGGCTGACAAAGGCGACACCTCCGCCGAGAACAAGTCCTGTAAGCTGGTGGAGGGAATGCTCAGACCCAAGTTGCCAAACTTGTGCATGCGGGCACTGGAGCTCAGCAGTGAGCTCTGCCGAGACATCGAAGATAGCTCAGGTGCCAGATGCCCGTCGTAGTCGGCCCCCTCCACCGGGATGTCTCGGGCACTGAGAGCCGCTCTTAGCCGGCTAGCTTGGAGTCCGGCACCTCCGGGAAGATGAAGCGTCGGGACCGTGGGCTGCGACCAGGAACCTCCGCCGGACGGTGACAGTGGAGGAGTACTAAGTCCGCTCCCGGAAGCATTCGATGGAGAGAAAGGTGGCACCATGATAACTGGAGACTGGGACGTTGAAGAGAGTGGCGGGCTGACGGAGCCGGCATCCAGTGGCGACGAGGCTCTCGGCGACGGCACTGCCGATCCCATCGAGACGAACAGCGGTCTCATCTCCTCCGAGGTGTGCGCAAAGAAGCACACTCTCCTGCTGCAGCTGGTACCATCTTTGCAAAGCCGCGTCCTATACTGCGCTGGATGGAGCCAGCACTCAAAAACTCCATGCGCGTACTCGCACGTATCGCCCCGTCGACACGCACCCTTCCGGAAATCTGGGCATGGCACGCAGCTGTAGTGGAACCGTCGCGGATCTCTTCGTCGGGCGTTCTCGCCAGGATGAACAAACGGGCACTCTGTCCAGTCGTGCGAGTAGGCTCTGGAACACGGCCGGACTTTGAAGGAGAACATCCGGAACTCATCCGTGGTGTAGATGCTGTTCTTGATGTCCGGCAGTGACGGGTCGACTGGATAGTCCTTCGTCTTCTCATCACTTGGATTCTCCGCAGACTTGGGTGACGAAGGGAACTGGGGCGAGAAAACTGGAGAGTACGAGTCCGGAGACGAGCAAACCGAAGACATGGACGACATTGAAACGAAACCTTCTCTCGTATCTGCGAAGGAGTCGTCGTCCAGCTTTGATGAGGAGAAAGCGCCACCCCCGTTACTCTGATGAGCTCCCTTGCAATCGGTATCAAGGCTGTGCCTCGCCGTACCAGTTGCGGACAGCATCTTCTCCAATTCAGACTTCGTAGACCGCAGCTTGAGTGGCACCGCTATCACCTGTGCTGGCCGACGACCGTATGCATCCATCAAGCTACTGTTGGCACCACCCGAGAGCAACAGCTTCACAGCATCTACACCACGAGAAGAACCACCAGCGGCAGCACAGTGAAGAGCAGTGACTTCGTCCTCGCCACAGAACTTATTGACATCAACCTTGCCTGACTTGAGAATGTAGCTCAGAACGTCGATGCTCCCATACAAGGCCGCAATCATCAACGGGCTCCTCTTCTCGGTGGCCATCTTGGTGCTCCCAATTTTCCTCAAGTACCAGCTATCGGGCTCGTCTAAATCCATACCCCCCTCCTCCACAACCCTCCTGAAAGTTTCCAGATCATTGTTGGCAGCTAGCTCGAGTAGCGATGGAGTGGTCTCGCGTTCCTTGCAGCCCTTGTCCATGTCTGACCACAATAAGGGCGGCTTGAGAAGAGCTTCTGGGTGCTGCGACAGTGGCGAGCGGCCTAGGACGTCGTCAGCTAGCATCATTCTGTAATTCTTTGCGACCGGCTTCGAGTGCTCAGGGCCCCCACACATCCTCTTTTTTTTTTCTTTCCTGTCAACGATGGCCACTAAGAAGAAAATGCGGTAAAAGAAGGGCCATACCTCGATCGACAGCAGTGGTATTCACAGCAATCGCGACGTCTCCACCGTCATAGACTCATCACCGCCACTCGACAGCTGCAAAGATCACGAATACCGCAATTCCACGAATTGAGAATCCCGATCGTGTCGTACAGATGAGCAAGAGGCAAGGGAAAGGGATTTTCGTGCAGGCAATCTCTAGCGAGGAAAATGAGAGCGGAGCAAGCATCGCCGGGCGCTACATTCTCTCTGGATTCGTGGCAAGAGACTCTAGCTCACCAGAATGCCCCGCGCATCGATCAGCCGATGTCGACGCCGACTGCCGCGCGCCAGCGCCAGCGCTTAGATCACGGATGGAGCAGCAGCACCACCACGCCTCGACCAAAGAAAAAAAACCTAACAATGCCCCCCAGCAACAGCCTTGGAGGAATAAAAGGAGAGAGAGACGGAAAACTATGAAACACTCGGCCATAGCCGATCCGACGGCTATCTTGCCCGGCGGTAATCTACCGGGTAGCCATCCAACGGCGAGGATACTAAGGTACTATAATAAGCTCAAGATGTGTGCGCGCGTGGCATTTGGCAAGGCCGTCCAGACGGCCGCCCGCCCATGCAAGCTCCAGTCGCATCTGCCCTTCACTGCCCGTCACTCTCAGCCGGATTGCACACAACCCCTCACGTCCGCCATTCCCATTCAATTTAACTGTTCATCTAATGGCGACGGCTTCCGTTAAAACGTTAAGCGCGCCCATCTCTAGCCGTCCGTGGGGTCCATCCGACCGCCCGCAACCTCCCCCCCATCGCGCTCGTAAAATCAACAAGATTATTTCCATATGACGTAAGTATGTCGCTATTTACACTGGCACAGTACAGTACGCGATGGTGACTGTGGTCAATAACTCGCAAGTAAAATGCAATGGTGTTCTCGTGTCCGGAAAGTACTGGTTTAACGTCCGTACGTGTGGTTTTGGATCTCCCATCGCGGACCGTCGGATAAGAATATACTAAGACCGATGGTGGTATAAATACTTTGATGCTAGGGTTGAGAGCTTTTTTCTGGTTCTTCTGTTAGGGTTCGCGAGGGCGAGGGCGAGGGCGAGGGCGAGGCGCGATGGCGGCAGCGACGGCCGATCAGCTCACGGAGCTGTTCAAGACGGCCCAATCGGCCGCGCAAAAGGCAACGGCGGTCGAGGGAGCTGAGGAAGATCGGTGCGTCGAAGCGCTGCAAGCGATGCGTTCTCTGCGAGTGACGACCTCGCTCCTCATGTCGACACAGGTACGTTGCCCTCCTCCCTCTCCGCGAGAATTCTAATCGAAATCTCCGCCATTTCCAGGTGGGGAAGCAGCTCCGGAAGCTCACGAAGCATTCCCGGCCCAAAATCCGGTCGATTGCTGTCGATATTCTTGAGGATTGGAAGAAGGTAGTGTCTTCCGAGGCGAGCTCCAAGAGCAAGGCGGAGGGCCCGAAATCGTCCGCGAATGCGTCCGTGGAAAAGGGCAAGGTGTCCTCCAAGCAAAGCAATGGAAACTCCAGCAGCAAGGCCAGGCCTTTACCGAAATCCAACGACGCTACCAGGGACAAGATGAGAGAAGTGCTACTCGAGGCCTTCCAAAAGGTCCCCCAGGAAGCCGAGGGCCAGGAACTTGCTCGAGCAAACGCCAAGGATCCAGTCCAGGTAGCAGTGGAGGTGGAGAATGCACTCTTCTCCAAGCTCGAGTCTACCAAAGTTGACAAGAAGGCAAAGTATCGCTCCATCGTCTTCAACCTCAAGGATCCAAACAATCCCGACTTGAGAAGAAGGTTGCTGCTCGGGCAGATCTCCGGCTCACAGCTCACGACCATGAGCGCCGAGGACATGGCCAGCGATCAGAGAAAAGCGGAGAACAAGCAGATCAAAGACAAAGCTCTCTTCGAGTGCGAGCGGGGCATGAAACAGGAGGCGACCACGGATCAATTCAAGTGTGGGAAGTGCGGCCGCCGGGAATGCACGTACTTTCAGAAGCAAACGAGGAGCGCCGACGAGCCCATGACCACTTACGTTACCTGCGTCAACTGTAACAATCGCTGGAAGTTCTGCTGAGCGCGGCGCGAGAAAAATCTTCTTTTTTCATCCGGTTCTATCGGTGAGGGGACGAAAAGCTCAAGAACACGAAGGGACGAAGAACAGGGTGTGACAACGTAACTTATCATCTCCATAGGTACACAGCAGTTCGTAGCGTTGTTTCTTCTCTCTCTCTCCTTTCTCTCGTCTTCCTTTCTCTTTTTCCTTCGTTTCTTCGTGCTCGCAGTTGAATCTATTTTTTTGTTTCAGTGCCACCATCGTTGAAACGCTTTCTTCTTCCAGTCCCTTCACTCGACAGTCGAGAGATCGGGACACAAGAAAGAATTCTTTCGTGTAAGCATCTCTTTGTTTTTTTTTTTTTCCTTTGTATAATTTTGTTCGTTGTCGATTGATCTTCGTGATCGATTGATCGAGCGATGGAAGAAAGGAAAAAGAAAAAGAAAAAAGAATAGAGAAGTTCTCGCACAAGTTGCTTGGTCTCTGGGAAAAATTGTCCTTTCGTTTTCGATGCCACACGGTGATTTCCTCTCCACTTTCGTGTGTTGAAGAGTTCCGGGGGTTAAGCGGACGGCTGCGATCTCCCGGGCGCAATCAACGGCCGCGATGTCCTGGTTCTACCCACCGGACATGGGCTTAGTACTCAAATCCAGCTGTTCGCTAGACGGGCGCTTCACACAAGAGGAGGCGCTGGCTATGGCGATGGCGATGGCGGGAAGGCGCTCCCAATGCCCTGTCGTAATCTTCTGGTGGCGCTGAGCGATCTTGGAGGCGCCGGTCGAGTCTTCCGCGGCGAGCAGGGATTTCGAGGTATTTTGTCGCTGTTGGAGAGCGCTGCCACTCTCTCAATCATCTTGTTGTGGCGAGCGAGCCCGCGATTCTGGAGGCGCCAGTCGTGTTTTGATCTGGGAAGCAAGGTATTTTGCATCGATCCAGCATTCTCAGATCCCGATCTCCGCGGCCCTGGAATCTTGACAAGGCGTGCTCGTTCAATGCAGCTATGGACGCGTTGAGGAAGCAAGCGACGAAGTTCCGGGAACAAGTAGCGAAGCAACAACAGGTACTTGCTTCGACCTCTTTCCTTTTTTTTCCCCTCTTTCTCTCTCCAATGATTCTTTCTTCCATCCAGGCGGTGCTCAAGCAATTTTCGAATCACGGGCCACAGGGAGCCGATGTGATCATCACCGATGAAGCCGAGCTCCACAGGCATCAGCAGCTGGAGAAGCTCTTTGTATCCACGCGCGCTGGAAAGGTACAAATTTTTGTCCCAACATATTTGAAGATTGTGATGAGCTCGTGTGATGTTTCCAGCACTATCAACGTGACATCATACGAGGTGTGGAGGGTTTTATAGCCACGGGCACAAAGCAGCTAGAACTTTGTAAGTTGGTGGCTCGTTCATTCTTGCCTCGGTTTCTAACTTCAGAGTTTTTCTTTAGCAACTAAACTTGCCGAAGATTGCCGAAGGTACTCCGTTGAGAGTACCAAAGCGGATGGTGCTCTTGCGAAGGCTTCTTTGCACTATGCCGATGCAAGGTTCAACATGGAAAAGGAAAGAGACGGCCTGCATCGAGCTCTTAGCACTCAGGTATGTCCCAAGGAGTTTTAGACACTGAAAGCAAGCTATCTTATTGTAGGTTGGTGAGCCTCTGAGAGCAATGGTGATGGGTGCTCCACTCGAAGATGCACGCCATCTGACACAGCGATACGATCGCCTTCGGCAGGAAGCCGAAGTACAGGTTAGTTTGGCCTCACTTTCTTGCTTTGTGTTTACATGGGGGAATGACAGGGGGAAGATGTTCGGAAGAGGCAGGCAAGGTCCCGAGAAGGCGG